TCAAATATTTAAAAACGCTAAAAAGATAATTTTGTTTAAGCACTTTGAATTTTTAAACATTTGTATACAATTGTGATCATATAATGTTTATGAAATCTTAAAAATTTAATTATCATAGTCTTATAAACTTAAATAATTTATTTTCAACTTAATTATAATAGCCATCTAGAAATATTTCTCCGTAATCAACTACTTGCATTAAATTATTACTATTTGAATGAAACAAATTATATTTAAATGTAATTCTATTTATTTTTAATTTACAGCCTGAAGCATTTAATTTCATAGTTAATAAATGTATTTTTCAAACCTAATATTTTTAGAATTTCTATTGCAATGATTATGCGCGTACGTTCAATATTTGCATATTAAATCGTAAATTACTATAAAAATATAGCTTTAAGTTATATCAGAATGAAAAACATTTTCCCTTGAAAATTATGCTGCAATAAATAATTTACATACACCGCATTACAATTCGTTATTGATATTATTTATTTTTATCATATTGATATCATTAATTATTTATTTAGAATGAATTTAAAGTAATTGGCTGGATAATATCGCATAATAAAGTAATTTTTTTTTAACTAAAATTTATTAAACTTATTTGTAAGTATATTGAATTAATTACATATTAATAATAATACATTTAAAGGAAAAACTGATATATGCATATATCCAAAGTAAAATTTTTTATATACGAATTTAATAATATCGAATAAATAGAAATTATATATTCATCTTCCACGTGTCATTTTTTCATCATAATTATGAAAATTATCTTTTATTTCATTTCTTATCAATTTTTTCATTCATTTCTGCGAGTCTAAAACGATTATGGATATTAATAAAATAAACGCTGAAATATTACAATGTTTTTGTTTGCATTCACATATTTGATAAATAATTTTCAGTTGCTACAATCATTCATCATATTCACAATAATTATCATATTAAAAATAAATTTTACTGTAAAATTAATATAACACATTAATTGATTAAAATATATATATTATATAAGCAGTATAGTTGGAATAGAATTGAATAAATTCTATTTTTTTTTCCCCTAATAATTAATCATACATAATTATTTAGTGAAATGAAGCAAATAATTAATAACCGTAATAATCATAAGTAATTTTGAAATAAATTCATCACTTGATTATAAAAACAATGGTCTATATTAAAATTTATTCAGATTTCAAATAACTGTTCATTATAAAATTATTGTATTATAATGGGCTAAAAATATTAGAAAATATTATAATAATGTTAAATATTTTTAAAATACTATACTCAAGTGTTTGGTCTTTAATGAAGCTTTATGTGAAAAATTCTTACAAGCATACTCAAATTTTGGCAATATATTTATCTATTTTGTGTTGGACAGAAAAGTTATTCAAAACAAATTTTCATATCTTTTCCAGAATTAAAGATTTATATTATAATAAAATATATTACGATATAGTTGATATCTATATCGAAGAATGATTTTAACTTAATCAAATCATTTATAAATGAAGAGCGAGTATTATAACCAAGATATTAAAACTATTTTTAATATTATATGTAAGTTATGAACATTCAATTTTATTTAGATATTTGTCTTCCCTTTAAAAGTTGATGAAAAAGAGTATAATAAATACACATGCAAATAAATACAATAAATACAAAATAAATACAATACAAAGATTGAGCATTTTATTTCTTTTTATTAAAAATGTTCATGCTTACTTTACTTTTCAATTATCTGAATCAATCATTTCTATTCTTAGTCCATCAAAATTCATGGACATTACTTTAAGCTTTAGACTAATAATATAATAAAAGATAAACAGCATATAAGAATAAAGATATTATAATGAGTACCTTAGAAATGGCAATAGCACTAATGCAGGTGCTACTCAATAAGTATTTCAGGTAAATAAAGAATTATATAATATTGATGTTTTCATTTTTATCATTACGTTTTTACGAATTTATAGCAAGAATCTATATTTTAGTTTACAATTTGTTACATTGAATTGATTTTAATGTGATAAAATTTTTTATCAATACATAACTCCTAAACTATGGCATCCCTATATACAAATGTGCACGAGAATTCACAATATTTAGGCAATGTATCATTATACTGACATTTATATACATAATATATATATATATATATATATATATTTAATTATCATAAGATTGTACACTTTAACGTAAAATTAATAAATTGAATCGCAGTAATTTCTTTATAATAAACGTTTGCAATTTAATAAGTACTAGTTTGATTAAATAAGATATAATCAATAGAGTATATTGCAGAGTATAGAGCATGCGGTCATATATTCATTACTAAATATATTCTTTTTAAGTGTCAGATTCATAGAAAATTTATAAATAGGACAGTTTGAAATTGCTTAAATAATGTTTTATTATAAACAATCAATTTATAAAAATAGAAAAATATCAATATTTCAATATATTTAAATTTTTGCTTATTTTTATTACAATAATGAAATTATATTAGAATAAAGCTGTCTTACCATTTCTATACGTAATTTTAGAAAAATAATTAAAAAAGAATTTAAATCTGACAGCTTCCGATTAAAGGTTATAAGAAGAGAAGAATACTGCTTTATCGACTCCGTAATTTTCCATACTTATTTACAGTATATGAAAATATATTTTTATTTATATATTTTATGATTTTAAAATATTTTTTACTTTTAAGTATACCGTAATGTTCAATTTTGTAATTTATTATTTTGATATTAATGTAATTACAAAAGTTTGTAAAAAGTGTTTTTAATAATGCATTAAAAGCTTACAAGTTAGTCTGTGGACGGATATTATTACTGCAATAGTGTGAAACTTATATGTGACGATTGATAAAATTATTTACGCTATACATAATAGGAAATAAAATCTCGAGTGCATTAGTGTTGAAATTATGAAAAATAACACCTTCTAGATGAATAGTTATTTCCCATACTTTATTTGAATTATATGATAATTTAAAATATTTATACACTTCCTATCAATAAAAAAAAACTTAAAAATAAATAAATAAATAGAATTTTCTAACGCCAAATAATTAATATTAAAATGATTATTAACGACGATATAAAAATATACATAATTTAGAATATACATATATGTTAAAAAAACCTTAAATTTATAATGATTTATTGTTATCAATAAACAAATATTTATAGTCGTTTAAGAATCGATTGTTTTTATATTCAATGACAACCTTACGTGAACATTTAGTGCACATATGACAGTATATTGATTGATTCTCAAAGCTTCAGCCGTATTTTTGTACATCATTTTTGTATTTTTAATTTAATAAAATATATATATATATATATATATATATATATATAATTGCCATTAAATTATTAAGTTTAATATTTTAATGCCCTTTTTGCAATTTGTATTCTCGTTGTGTATAAATAAATACAATATTTTATTCAAAAGATATACTTTGTCTAATTTTAATTTGTATCTTTTACTTATCTTATCCAATAGCTTTACAATTAATTATGGCATAAAAATTAATTTAATATCTTTTCATCATCAATATTTTAATAGTAATTTCCAGAATCTGATTATGAAAATTAACATAATATTTTTATAGAAAGACAGTATAATTAAACGAATGAAAATATACTTAGATTATTATTACATATTAATCGGTTTTTTCCTTGTTTAAGAAACATTACGTAAGCTTTGAACAATATATTAAAAGCAACTCCTTCTTATATGTCGATGACTTTATAAAACTACATATTATACAACTATTAAAGGTTTTATCTTTGAAATAAAGCTTTTACAATAAAAGTAAAATGCTGGTAAATTGCATTGTTTGCATTATTACTTTTTATATTTTTAATATATAAATTTTTATTTTTCCATAAATATATATTTCCTCTGTGAAAGTTTATGTAAATATAAAAATCTACATAAAATTTAAAAATATAAAATATCTTTAAATATCATAAGTACAATTAATGAAATAAAATAAAATTACTTCAATTTGTAAACGTTTTTCATTTTAAAAGATAATTGAAAATTATACGAATGTAGGAAATAAAATAATTTAATTGTAACTCTATTGAAATTCGTGATGGTATTGGCAGTCAGTTTCTAGTTAGCTTATTGATTTATTGAAATTTATAAATAAGTTAATTAACAAAGGCATCGTTTTAATTTTAATGTCTGTGTAATTAAAGAATTAATCAATATTATTATCATTTTGAATGAAGAAGAGGGCATTGTATTTCTGATAAATTGTGTACAGTATAATGAGGTAATGCAGTTTAGAACTGCTTGGTTAATCTAATTAGAACACAAGATATATTTACTTGCAATATCATAAATCTTAATGCATTCATATTAATTAGGCCTTTGAAATACCGAACAAATTACATAAATTTATTTAATGCACTTATGAAATTGACGCTTTTTACTTAAAATCTATTTGTCCATGTTTTAAACTGTATTGTATTCTTCTGAAATATGGTTAATTTTTTAATTTTTTTTTTTTTTTTTTCGTTTTATATTTCTATTTCAACACTATTATATTTTGCGAGCGGATAAAATTGTAAATAAATAAATAAAAAAAAAATATATATATACACATGTATACATATATGTGTAAATTGTATAATTGAAGCTTAGCAAATGCTTAGCACTGTCGCCGTTCCAGTATAAGTTTAAGGAACGACACTACAAAACAATTCCAATGAAACAGTAAAACAAAACCTCGAACGATAGAAGTGAGGTAACAAAGTTGCATTAACAATAGCTCGCGTGCGGCGGGTAGAGATTTGCGTAACGTTCGGTGGGTATGTCTCTCATTCACCCGTATGACCGAGATCAAGTCGAATTTTACGCAGTCGCTTGGTAAATTAGGAATCTGTTGCGTGCAGGCCGACGACGAAACCATTTTCCTCGCCGGCGACATTCTCTCCACTCGATCATGAAAATCGGCGCCCGCATTGTAAAGATGTGTTTGATGCGGGAGTGTCGTCGGGACTAGGTGGTATCATCGTAGTGCCACCAGGAGGACGCTGCAACCCAGTAGCCAGTGAGATGTCCTCGTAATCCCAGCGCCTCCCGCCAAGTACTTCCCTGCGAAAAAATAAAGATCGAGAGAGTTGCTTGCTATTCGTGCCGAACAGAATACAACGGATGTGGGAAATAACAGTTAATGTCGCTCACACAAAGAAGCCAAGTAAGAGTGGCAACAACATTCACGTAGTCTCGAGTACTCGGCGCAGTCGGCCGCTCGGACTTTGCAGGCTTCCGGACCCACTCGGCATTTGTGCTCCACAAATCCAAGTACCTCTGCAATAAAATGCGTTATTTATTTAGTCAGAGTGATCAAGTGTCATACCTGAGCTGTCGATAAAAATCTGCTCCCCTACAACTTAGAGGCATAAACTTAGGCATAAACAGCAGACTCTTGGATCGTCAAAATTAACGACCGCGAATTGCAAGTGACACCTCCTAAAACTTTCAGTTATCAACGGTACGGCGATTACGGTATCGTTGGTATCTATTTCTCGTGAGCCGGGCGCGCCTTGATTCCGCAAATAAAGCTATTAGAAAGCGGAAATTACAATCGGGCAAATAAATTTCGTCGAATGCGGTGACATATTTGCGATTTCTGTATCGTGCCGCTGATAAATTCGTAAGGAGGGAAAAGAAAATGAAAAAAGCAAAAAAGAAAAATAATAAGACTCCTCGAAAAGCTGCTTCTTTTATTTTTTTTTTTTATTATCTCGGGGGCAATGCGAGTGCCGGCTATCGGCGCATTGGTGGACAAATTTTGCTCTTCACATTGCTTCGCCACGAGTCAATAAACATTACGGCAACGGTGTGACGGCTTTTCGCACAGACTCAACAGTAAATTCTCGCAACGTGCTATCAAAACTTCCGGCTCGCTCTCCTACCACCTCGGGATATCAATGCCTCACACGTACATGCGCTCATGCAACACACATTAGAACTTTATCGAAATCCATTTTGCCGAGTATTCGAGCTTGACACATGTGTCGGCGACGCGCTCCGATGAGTCGTTATGCCATCAGCAAATGAATCGACGATTCTTGATTGTGCAACGACGTGCACTCGCATTAGCCTCGGACGCGCGCATACTTATAGTTGTCGTACTTTAAGTGCGCATAAATAGTGTGGCAATTTGACTGTAGGCGATTTTTATTTAATGTGAGGCGTCGGGCTTTACGGCATTTACTTACGTAGGAAAATATTTTAGATTCGTATCAAATGCTTTGAAATATATGACTCTTCGAGTCACGATGACGAGCTACGGTCATTCGACAATACCAGCAGTACTTAAGGATATTAATTATAATATAAAGACTTTAATACGTTAACCTTAAATGGCTTTAGCTCGGCCGAAATGTAGGATTAGCCCTGAAGTTATTTGAATATTAACGGAAATGTGTATATTTAAACTGTTGAATAAATTGACACGTAGCTTCCGATAATTATTAATTATTGAAAATATTACACGCCAGCTTTGCAATTAGAAAATCGATATCTCGAATGAACTTTGCATGCCAGCAAATGTATTTTTAAATACTTTAGAAAGCCGCAAACTATTAACTATTTCTTCAAAAATATCTTTCCCATGAAATGTTTGTCTAGAAATAATTTTAAAACTTATTAATTTTATCTTTCGGTATAAATAGTATTATTTAATAGTTTTAACCTGTCAATTATTTAAATTAATAAAACTTCTATATATCTCTGTATAAATGTGACCTTCAATTTCATTGCAAATAAAATCCGTTTTTCACGCACACTTTCATTTTTACAGATTATATTTAGTTTTTAATCGGTAAACTGATAACTAAGCAATCTGTTTTTCTCATTTCAATGAAAAAGTTCAATGCTTGATTGGATTATTATATCGAAATGTAGATTTATTGTCGAATCTAAATTTTTTTAAATATTTTGTTTCGCCACTATTTATTGCTCTCTACTGAAACGTTTCAATTTTTCATATTTAAAAATATTTTTATAATCATGTTATTCAGTCATATTAACAGTATTGAAACTGAATAAATAAGAAGAAAAAAGGGAAAACTTAGAGGGAAAGTTTTAAGTTTGTAGATTCACAACGATTAATGAAATGCCAAGGAGAATCATAATAGTTTTAACATTTTTTAAAAATTCAGTAGAAAGTAATAAATCTTTATTTAAGTAATAAATTTATTTGTATTATTTTATTTTATCGACATACCAGAAATCCAAAATATTTTTCAAATATATGGCAATGGAATTAATAATGAAATAAAAAAAATAATTACTCCATTTGATAATTTATAACTAACTGCATCGTCAAATTTTACATCGGCATGGCTAAGTAATAATTGACACACTTGATTAATAAGTGAATTTGCATAAGAATGGCAATATGTTAATAATGTTATTACTACGGAGAGAAAAAAAACTAAATATTCAAATTTCGGCTACGGAGTTCTGAAGAAGCTGCAAATTCAAGTCATAAAATTTTTTGAAAGAAACTATGAAATTAGCACCTTCGCGGTGGAGACTTAATTTTCTAGTTTAATATACATATTGTGGTTATTTTTATAATATTTCTGTTAACAATGCAAACGTTCTTATGCATACGTTTTGCCTAGTTTATATATATATATATATATATATATATATATATAATATATTAACTGTTTTTAAATTAATTAAACTAAAATTTTAATCCTCAATAATGATTATACGAATTGCTAAAACAAATCATTTTAAATAGTATGTCATATAAAAAAAATTGTTTAATTTCATATGTTGAACAATATATGGGTTACACCGGCGTTCTTTATTTGTTTTTATGGCAACAGTTTGAGATTTCGAAAAAGCGTGAAAAACTATTGCGGTTAAAAGTATTTTTCGTATTCGTTGCGACACGCGCAGACTCGCATCAATGCATTTTCACTGCGTACTTTCAGAATCATCTGAAATCCGTCTTCTCCTGTTGTCTTACATCCAGCGAGCATGCTAAAAGCTTTTTCCATTGGATTAATTCAACAAAATCGACAAATTCGAGCCCTATAATAATACTATTTTTATTTTAAATTTTACTAAATTTTTAAGCCTCCTCTCTCGTACAATTGCTGAGTTACAGTGATAATATCGTTTATTCATTACCTTTCTCTCCACAGAAACGACAAAAATCATTATCATAGTGAGTATTTTATAGACTATTTATCTAAAATAAGCCAACGTATTCTGTACATTCGTATAATAGGAACGTACCTAGTAGTGTACAGTACGTGGATAGATGTATGGCGCTGTCGGTATGACACTAAATGGATTATTCTGTGTGGGAACGTTCGGTAAGTAACATTATGCTTTGTATTTTAAATACTTAATTTCAGCTTCGAGCTATTATATTTAACACACAATCTCGTCGTCATCAAACTTTTATTTATCTTACATTATTTTAAAGCTTAGCTTTATCATCGAATGTTTTCTTTGCTTATGTACTTGTAGATGATCCCTTTCCTTATAAACATCCTTTTTCCCAATAAACCTCACCATCAATCGAATGATTATTAAAATAACTATTGTCTTTTAAACACTGTTTTCAAAAACTTTGCCTAATTAATAAACATTATAGGCAGAAGTTTTGATCTACGATCTCGAAGAAACTCTCCCAATTCATAAAGATAAATCATTAAAATAGTTGGTGCCAGATAAGTTGAAACTTATCTAAAACTTGATTACGGAATGACAAAAAAAGTCGGATAAAGTGTGGCTGCTGGTAACTTGTACTGTCTGTATCAATACAATATCGCAATATAATGTCGAACAGTGTTCAAAGTGGACACTACACGATATCACGCGTAAAGCCCCTGACAATCTCGGGGATTTGACCATTTTTATTGAAGGCGAGAGGGCGTCGCTGGGGCCTAAACACATCCCCAATACCTCGACCTCGACCTCGACCTCGTCATTCGCCAGCGACAGCAGGAGCTCGTAAATAAAAGCTAAAAGCATGGGCGCATTGGCGAGGCGACACCGGGGCATCGCTCGTGCACCACCTGGCGGTTCTTGTCGAGGCCGCGCACGTGTGCGCGTATTTCGAATGCGAAGCAGCGAAACAGTAGTGTCGGGAACGGGTGACTGCCCTTCCGCCCATGTCTCGGGGCCATTTGCATCGACGGCCTCGTCGAGTTTTCGCTCGCGGCATCACTCTCGAGCAATACGAGAGGCGGTAAAAGAAAAAAAGGAAGAAGAAAAAAAGAAAAACGAGAATGCGTTCTGGAAATTGCAACTTTTTTCTTGACGACAGCGCGTCACGCGCGGACGGTTGCGCCTGGCTTTTCATTTTCACCTCTATGTTTCTCCTTGTTGTCTTTTTTTTCTTATTTTTTTTTTCTTTGCGCCCGCAAAGGCTACACCGATCACTTAGCACGTCCGCGCCGACAAAAACGTATTCGCGTGTCAAACTCGTGGGAATTAATTAAGTAACGCACCGTTGTAGCCTCCGTCGCAGCAGCAGTGGTCCTCCAGGACACTGCCGTTCTGGCAATATGTCATCTCGTCCTTGCTACAAGCCTTGCATCCGGGCACTAGACCTGTAACGTCCAAAAGCTCGATAAGTCGATGAATCGGATAGAGCGGGCGCGCGGAAACGAAATGGGACATAAATAATGAGGGATTAAGGGGTCCCACGCTCGAGAGACTGACATCGGTCGATTCGGTTCACTCCCGCGCGACTCATAGAAATTCGTGTCGTTGTATTACGAAACGCGAAGCACGAGGAGGCCCAATTGGCATCTAATCTCTCAAACGAGGACGAAAAGGGCGAGGAGGGGGGGGGGGAGGTGAAGAACGAGATAATGTATAAAGCTCGGGTGATAAAGAAAACTCACCAGAGTAGAGCTTGAGACCCCTGGCCTCGGTAATAGCTTTCTCGTAAGGAACCTCGTGCTCAAGCACGTACTCGTTGTCGGCGTGATGATCAACGACGGTGACGGCCTCGAGCCTTGGCGGTGGCGGCAGCAGCAACAGCAGCAGCGACAGCAGCTGAAGGAGCCTAACGTCCAATATGATGAATTTCATGTCGCGGTTCTCACATTATCCTGGACGCACGAGCCCCGGGGCTTCGTACGCGACACTTGCACATTGATCACACTGCTTCGACGTAATATCGAGAGAGGAGGAATGCTCGGGAAGTAATAGTAGAGATAAGGCAAAACAGCGGCAGCAGTGGCAGCGGTGACGTTGACAGCGGCAGTTGAGAGCGCGGACGAAAAGCGGCTCTTCCCCTTGAGTGATGGCGCTAACGACCTAAGCGGCGATCACGGGCTTAATTAAGCTCAATTGATGACTGAGCGCTGGAGATCCGCGGCGAGGTTACGTTTGCCGAGAAAACACGGCGATGGTCGTAAGCTGATCGAAGTTACGCGCCCAACCCCCACAACCTCGGTTTCGACTTATCGCGCGATGGCAGTGGCGGCGACGGCGGTGGCAGCGGCAGCGGCAGCGGCGACGACGACGGCAGTGGCGATGGCAGCATTGGCTGATCAGTTACTATTTCAAACTCGGACGTCCGACCCGCCGCGCGCTCGGACGTTGACTAAGTCGGCAATTCCGTCGCCGCGACGACCCTCGGTGATCGATATTACGTGCTTACGGCCCCTCCTCGCGCGCCCCCAACACGGAATTTCGCGGCGCCCTTTTGACGTCGGACTCCTCGCGAAAACGGGCGCAATCGTCGTCGCCGAAATTTTGGCCCGCCACCTCGTCGTCACACCACTCCGTGCCATCGCTCCTTCGTGACCCCTCCAGCACTCTCACCTAGGTATGCGCACGTGCGCCCCAGCCGGCACGCATGCGCGCGAGTAAGCGCCATACAAAGGTTCATTATACCGAGTGTGCGCTCCCATCGGGGGTTGTATAATGCCTATAAAGAAGAGCGAGAGAGAGAGAGAGAGAGAGAGAGAGAGAGAGAGAGAGAGAGAGAAAGGTGCCCAATGAATAGGAGCCATCGCTCCGGTTACGAGTTACCCCGCGCTCGGAGCCTATTGATCCTGCGCGCAGTTCCTCCTTGCGCACACGCGCGTCCTCGCTCACTCGCGAGCCCCGATCGCCCTTTGTCCGAAACTCAGGAGCCGTGCTCCTTTTCTCACGGCTTTCTTTATTCCTTTCTTCTCGGGTGCGCTCCCCTTTGCAGGCAGCTCCTCTACTTTTTCTACCGACCCCATCCGCGGGATTGTTTTTATCCGCGCGGGCGCGCGCACTATTCTTTCCTGCCCTCGGCCTCGCCACTCCGCGCTGCTCTTCTATTCTCTTCTCTCCTCTCCTCTCCTCTCCTCCCCTCTCCTTTCCGCTCCTCACTGCTGTTCTCGTCTCCTCTTTATGACGTTCCCCGTCGCTCCACACCGACCCGCATTTTGCGTCTTAGATCACGCATCGCCTCGTCCTTGTTTCACCGACGACAATCGAATCAGACGGCCTCGTGGCTCTTATATGAGATACCATGCCGAGGAAACTCCCTTCCGTCGTAATGAGGATCTTGCACGAATGCCGATCGAAATGACGACTCGTCGTCTTTCAGTGCCTACGCCCAACATTATTTTTACCTTTCTTCTATGTACTATACCTTCCCTTTATTTTCATTTTAATTGATAAAGAAACGTTTTTTTTCGGATTGACGCGATGCACCATTGAAATCCTACTAATATAATTATTCTCATACTTTTTGTAAGGCAATATTATTATATTATCTATTGCGAGCACGGAACAATGTTAAAAATACTAATACGGAAATTACTGTTATTTATTTTGTTTACAAAACTTATGCTACTCATCATGACGATAAAGCAAAATTCCGATTCCCATTGAAATGTTCAATTCACAACTCATAATTTTTCTAAAATGAAATTATATTTATGCACAAGAGTCCAATGCACGGTTTTGCGAACTAAAACGATAATTTAAATATTTCAATCAAATGTATTCTTATGTCGCCGAACTTTATATGGAAATAATTATATTATAATCACTTTGAAAATTGACTTTAATGAATTTTCCTATCCCATATAAAATATGTATCCCATATATACTCCACTAATCCTCTAAGTAAACAAAAATATTTCGCATATTTTAGAATTCAGTCATACTTAAAATACGTCCGCATAATCTGAAATAATATGCATTGGTTGCTCATACATAATTAAGGCAATAAATCATGCTAAATGCGCTTAACTATAAATTCAAGCCTGTCAATATGTAAAATCCAATTCCTTCCTCCATTAACTCGGTGTGCGTGCAGAATACAAAGTCACATATTTATCTCTTTGAGTCCAACATTTCACTTGGAGCACCTTAATTCTATTAACATATAAAACAGTTTCATTGCACCGAGCAACACTTTTCTTATCTTCGATAAAAATATTTCAGTAGCAGATGACTTACAAAGGTGCAAATACATTTGATATTAGAATGGCCATTCAAATCTTGGCCCCATTGGTTTCACCTTCGGCGCCCTCGTGAAATCATCATCGCTTTGGTTACTTCGTAGGCGGTCAAGAGTGAGAGCAACCGCGTAGCTTTAATTAATTGCTTGACACGCCATGACACTTATGAATTTAAAAGAGCGGTAAGAGAAGAAACGAGCAAATACTACCCTCGAGATTTGGTGCCTTTGTCCTTGCGCCTCCATAACACCTATTTTATAAAATTTTTTTATAAATTAATTTTTTTCCATCAACATCGACTTTTGCCCACACAAACAGGTTTTCTGTTTTTAAATTGCGAAAAAAGTTGTACGTAGCACGTTATTCTATGTTCCTTAGTATTATAATTTTATTATTAACCATGAGCGCAATTAAAAAAAAAAACATAAACTTTTATTCTTTATGTTATATTTTCTTCTCGTATGTGTTCTTGTTCTAATAAATTACACAAGAACTATAAAATTTTTTACTATTTTCCCTAAAATAGATCGATATAAATAAATTATCACTTATCTTTAATTGATCTAATTACTTTTTAAATGGTGCGTAGACTGTAATTGAAGGAGCATCATGAGTTAAACAGTCCAGACGATGATATTACTTTAAATGCTTCAAAACTATTTTCATCTTTGTAAAATATCTTACAAACAAATTTTTCAAATTGCTTTAGGCAAAGTTTCATAAGCCTACGTATATATTTTGTTTGTAAAAAATAATACAATGGTTTATAATAAAAAAAATGACGTACAATTAGATACTGTTAAATAATTATTTCTCCGTTTATTTGTTTCTGAATTTAAAATCAATTGATAATGATATTCTTAAATGAAAAACATATTAGATCTCTAATAATATTATTAAATAGAATAAACGGTTGATTGAGTGGGAGGGACGCATCATTTTAAACATCGTTACATCAATTCTGAAATGAGCGTTCGTTTTATTTTCCACTTAACAGATGTATCAAATTTCTTCTAGATTGTATTTTTTCTTTCTTTCATGTATATACTTATTCTTATTAGCTGAATATTTAGTAATATTTATGTTTATTAGATTTTAGTACAATAAATCCAGTTAAAATATCTTCACTTTTTATAATAATCTTATAAAGTCTATCATGATCAATGGATATCATAATACAATTTTTGTCGATCAATTAATAGATACATTTTTCTTAAAAGTTTATATATATATATATATATATATATATATCTTTAAATATATATATACATATATATATATATATATATATATATATATAATTGAAACGAAATCTGAGATTAGCAGGAATTTGTTTAAAATTTCAAGTCTGTATAAGTAATATTTACTTTGAATTAAGATTTGATAAATGATAATGTATTCATTCTATAAAAAAAAAAACAAAAATTGCCTAAAAATAACTTGAATACATTAATTTATTGAATGTTCATTTATTATGTATTTATTATTGTTATATATATGTATATATATTATTCATTGATTGACATAGAAATAGCAAATTATTATATGTAAAATATAATCTTTTTGCATGTATAAAAAGTTTTAATTCTTCATGTTAAATTTTTGCGATTTTAAACATTAAAAATTATGATAATTATTTAAATATAAATAACTATATTAAATTATTTATTTTATTAAATTGTATTTTTTATGTAAATATGCTTCCATATTATCACACCGAAATGTTAAATATTAGTTTTAAAATATATAAGTTAATCTTTATTTAATTTTTTTTAGTGCACGTTATATTACGAAGTTTTATTTTATATTTATATTATAATTAATATTATAATATATAAGTTATATTAGAAGGTTTATTTCATCTAGTTTAAAGGAATAAGAATTCCAAGATAATAACAGTGTGTGAGTATTACCTTTCCAAATGGTACTTATACAAAATTGAATTAATGTATACTATGAAATATTGAATATCGATTTATTTTTTGTACGAAAAGACTGATGGGCATTGTAATATTCTTACATAGTATTATTACATTAATTTTATATGTACAAACATATATCAAAGTAAAAATAATTAAAGGGAATTCTTAATAATTTTAATTATTTTCACTTATACATGACACGGATTCTTGAGTTTGGATAAGTTTTCCATTCTTGGATTCTTTACCTCAACCACGCACTTGTGCATTTCATCTACCCACATAAATTACTTTGCATCGACCCCGACTGTCATAAATTTTATTCAATTACGAAAATTAGTCATCCTATTACTTAGTCGCCATGTTATTTAACCAATGCATTTAATATATAATAAACACTTTCGACAAATTCTCTTCGTATCTAGAAAACTCAGCACGTAATAAAGAATATTTGAAACCATTTAATCCCTAATGAAGCATTTGAGAAAATCTAACTTTAAATATAATAAATCAAACTTAAAAGAAAAAGTAATTGTAGTTAAAATATTTAATTTAAACTTAATAATCGCAAATATATTTATAAGGAGATTAACAAACATTACTCAACAAATAATAGAATTTAACATTTCTAAAGAACTATGTTGGAAACAAAGAATATTTTGGATATCGAAAAAACTTATATTTGACAAATATTCGGCTACGAAAGATTAAAAATACTTATAATTTGCGTTTATATTTTAGTCTTGATAAAATATTTGTAGAAATATCGTGTAAAGATTTACATTGGCGATTATCGACTATGTCCATATTTAAACTGGAATAAATAAGAAAAATAAATAAAAATCATAAGGCTGAATATCAGAAAAGTTTCACCAATGAAAATTGATTTTCCTGTTTATTGACTGTTTAATGCTGCACGAGTAAAGTTGACTTTAAAACGACGATGTTATTTGTAAAATACAATATACCTTGTGTGTAATTCTTGTTGAATAATCTGAGCTCGCGTGTTCTTGTACATGTTAGTTACATTTTCGTTTATGTGACCATTAATTGTCAATGAAGTACCTTTAATTAGTTAGTACTTTTCCATTATAATGTATACGGGTCATTATCGAACTAACTAGACAAAAAGTCGTTTTTATTGTTTAGCATATTTTTAAAAATTGATTTTTAAATTATATATATATATATATATATATATATATATATATATATATATATATATATAGTATTATAATAATTAATTTTATATTAAAAAAAAAAGAAAAAAAAATTAAACGCTATTAAAAAATTTAATTTATTTTTCGGTAATTTATTATTTTCTTTTATAAATTTCATAGCTGACATGAGAAAGAGTTTGTATGAATTATTACTTATACTCACCTTTATGCCTCTTGCATGGTTTTACGTTTATTAACGTAAGCTTTATAAGTTTGATTGAAAAGACTTTACAAATTATTACTTTATATTATTCTATTTATTTTTCCATAGTTTTATCAGCGGCTATCGTGCCATACATAGCTTCGTTCAAATTTCAATAAATTTTACCGCATTAATTATATGCTACAATGTATCTATGTTATTTAAAACTATTTATTTATTTTACCATTAATAATGGATTGTCAGTGGAAAAAGATGTAACATTAATTACTATTAATTTTCTAATGATTAGGATAACAGTTCTAATGTTTAAAGTATTTATCAAGGTAATTTTGTTAATTGATTGTAAAATTATTAAATTAATCTAAATAGTGTTCGGAGAATTGTAATATGTATTCGCAGTGCGTAAGTTGAATAGGAAATTTTATTTTGAGAAGGCTGATCGTTTTGAAGTACGATATATAAACACGAGAAACAAAACATTTTTAATGCCTTTATAGTAGTATTAGAAATTTTCTATGTAAAATAGTCTTTATAGCGCCATCTAGACAAGCCACTCTAAATACTATGAATTCTGTATAATAAAGATATCTTTTGTTTTGAGACGACATTTGACTCGATATTATTGCTTCATTTGTTGGAAAAATTTCAAGAATTATTAGTATATTTTAATGTAAATAATAGACGAATGAAAAATTCAAATGTATATGAAAATTTTTTATTTTTGCATTGACAAGATAAATTCGTAACTATTTTAGTTCTTATATTATTTTTTTTTCTCTTTAGAAATCTGGTTTCGGTTAAATCGTTAAATATCTCCTCGAAAACACGTCATCGTTTTATTCTACTTTTAAGTCACCTAATAAGAAAAGTTAAGAAATTATAATGCTATTAGGGACGACTTCGTTATACCCTCGATCCTTCCGCTATAGAGCATAAATAAACGCCATTTATATAAATTCCTCAGCCCTAAGCCCCGAGCGCATGTTCCAAATGCTCGAGGACGCGTAATGCGGCAGCAGCAGCAGCAGCAGCAGCAGCAGCAGCAGCAGCATCTTGAAAGCTTTGTTCTTGATTTATTTGTCAATTCAAAGTGACTTTCAATAATGAAACGGTGACGATAAAAGCACGAAACAAGAGCTGATAAGATAAATCTAAGGTCTGGAACATTCGTAATCTCATCCTTCCTCAAACATTTTGAATTGTATAATGTGATCCGATCAGTGTCAGACAAGTGGTTAAATTATACGAGAACAAACAATTACTACGATTTAATCTAACATTTATCTTTATATTATTAGAGCAAGATGGGAAAGTATAAGATTAAAGTAAGTCGGATGATTTATTGACGTTTAATTGATAAATTCATGAAAAGTAATATTTGATTTCAAATAATTTTCATACAAAACCTTTATTCGATATATTGAAAATTTTGCAGATCGGCATAATCGCTGGCTGTGGCCTAGATAAATCTTTTAAAGAGGATCTTACATATTTTAGTAAAATAGAGAGGGAAGATGCAACAAACGAATATGGTTTACCATCCAGTAGCCTTTATACAGGAACAATTAGTGGAGTTGATGTTGTGCTGTTAATTAGGTATAAATATAAAATATACATTTATACAATAATCATGGCGTAAATATGTAGAATTTTTTTATTATACCTCAGAATTATTAATAATAATACTAAAGCTTGAGAATTTAATGTATTTTGCATAAATGTACAATGATTCTTCCTAAAAATTACAAACTCCTTGCTATATAAAGAATTTTAATTTTGATTATAAAATCGTTTTATTTAATGAGTTAAAATAATTTTAAAAAAAAAGTTTAAGATCCATATTATTGATACCAATTCATAAGATTATTTTTATAAAATAATCTAGAACTTTATCATTATATTATAAATTACAAGTTAAAATAATTATTGTAAGGCATGGATCAGGTTATAAAGTATCAGCAACTGATGTCAATTATCGTGCAAATATAGAAGCTTTTCGGGTGGTTGGTTGTACACATATTCTAGCAACTACTGCTTGCGGCTCGTTGGTGAAATTATTCAGTAAAGAACAATTAGTTATTCCAGATAGTTTTATAGATAGAACTGTTCATAGAAAAGGAACTTTCTATGATGGAACTTCTAAATATTATTCAGGTATTATACAATTTGTATAATTTTTTTTATTTAAATTTTAATATATACAATTCACATTTTAGGTATTTGTAATCTCCCAATGGAACCATCTTTTGATCCTCATACTTCTCAAATAGTTGAAAATGCAGCAAAAAAATTAGAAATTTCTATTAAAAAGGGAGCTACTATTGTTGCAATAGAAGGACCTCGTTTTTCATCAAAAGCAGAAAGTTATATGTTTCGACAATGGGGAGGGCATTTAATTAATATGACAACGTGTCCAGAAGTATATTGAAAATTAAATTTTAAATTTATAACTTAAATTGGATTTTACTTAAGATTATTATGTCATAATACATTAAACTTCTTTTACAGTACTATTTAATATTAAAAGGTTATTTTATTATATATATATATATATATATATATATATATATATATATATATGTATGTATAAACACATAAATATGAATTCTTTAATCTCTAAAAGCAATTGTTAAGACCTTTAATATACAAATGTTTATTGTATGGTATAATAATTTAGAATTGTGAATAGTTTACTAAAATTAATGTTGGTTAAGAACAAAAATATATCGATATTATAGGTTTTTTTGGCAAAGGAAGCTGGAATACTTTATACATCTATAGCAATGGTTACTGATTACGATTGTGGATCGGATGACATAGCAGATAACGTACATCCTGTTGATGTTTTTAATGTTTTTAAAAGAAATATTAATAAAATTAAAAGTGTGCTAATACAAACAATTGAATTGATCAGTCAAGAAGATTGGGATCAGCGTATCGACGATTTAAAGGTATTTTACATTTTTTCTCAATTTATAAGTTATATTGATTTCAATTTTGTATATTTTTTTACAGGATCTTGTAAAAAGCAGTGTTACTTTATCTTCTTGATTATACAAAAAATATATTAATAATGAAGTAATATATTGAATAGTAGCAAATTGTATTTTTTAATAATATATTATTAATAAATAATTCTTGGGTAATTCTTTTATCTGACATTATTTTTGTTAGGAAAAAGCAAAATTTAGTTCTAATGAATAAAAACAAATGCTTATATAATTAGTAACAGTGATAGTAACGGAACATGATATTTATTTATAATTATACAATGTATAATATAATTATTGAAGGTAAACGACAGCTCGCCGTTTTTTTTTTTTTTTTTTTTTAATATATCTACAAATTACAACAGCTTGCTTTTATAACTCTTTCATTCGGTTTTTACATAAATTATAACGATATTCACAATATATAAGCAGGCATTATTAAGTAAATTCTTAATGTTTAAATGATCGTTATTTCGTTTAAAAAATTTTGTGTAAAGTTTAAAACTATAAAAGGTAATAAAACCATTACTACAAGCGAATTAAAATTTTTTATACTTGATTTAACAATCAATTTGCAAAAGTAACTAAAGTCTTTATCCATTGTTACTTTGCATAATACTTTACTTTTTTTTTTTTTTTTTTTTTTTTTTTTTTTTTTTACAATAGTTAATATATTCTGTAATTTTTAATTATTTTGAATATTGCTTATGAAATTCTACGTTTTTTAAATTTTCGTGAATTTCACATTCTGCATTCATGTTTTACATTAATAAAGGATATTATTTAAATAAAAGAAAACTTATCTACTTTTTGAATACTTTTGAAATATCTTAAAAGGCTTCAAAACTGTTTTCATGATTTTTCAATTTTGTACACAGCAATTAAAGAAATCCGTTGCAATATTTTCATACAATATAAAGACAGGCGTTGCAACGACTCTCAAATAAACATTTTCTAGTACATGTTCTTCAAGCTCCTAAGTTTCAAGCAAAATTTTAATATTTCCTTTGCACACTTAAAAATATCTGAACATTGTTTGTCATTTATTACAAATTGTACATTTTCATAATTTATATTTTTATATTAGACAAATATGTGGAGCCTTTGATGAAACATGTGCACATAATCAAACTAGAGCAAGGCGTACAAGTCAAACTTAATAAAACTTGTACTAAAATTATGTACAAGAACTGTCTGGTGAAAAATATCTCAAGTATTCTTACTAACTGCATACCTACATACATACAATTATGCGTGCATGTGTGTGTATATGTCAGAAAGAAAAAATACAAATAAGCCATTAGGATCTGTATTCCTTTACAATACTTTATTTGTAATAACAAAAGAAAATGAGAGAACCGAGGTTATTATGTAAAAAGAATACTACAGCGAAGCTTTTACATCAGAGATTTTTCCACCAGATTAATCTATCACTCGAAATTCACCATGCATCACGTGAGAATTCAGTATTTTATTGAATTCGTTTCCTCAGAAATTGCTATAAAAATATTATTCTCAATACTTAACAAAGACTCGCACATGAAAGCTGGATAAAATTGCTTTTAAAATTTGAGACGCCCATGCATTTGGAACGACATCAATAAAAGTTTCATCGGTAAGAGAATGTTGAGACAGTATTTTTGACTTAATTAAAAAGCGTTTTGAATCGTTTGAGTGGTGGTATTCGGCTAGTTTTTAAAATAGTAGCAAATATGCAACCGGATGAGCCAAGATGTCAAGTGTGCGCTAAATGTACAATGAATTCCACAAATTAAATTAAACTTTATTGTCCACCATGTCCACATTGATTTTATAGTAGACATAAGGAAAGTAGTCGCTTTGACCAAAGCCCAGCCCTGGTATATCGACACTCTAAAAATTATAATATATTTATAAATATCTATTATTGTAGCATATTTTATAATAAGTAAACTTACGTCTTGATTACTAGACTGCGAGCTGCCAGCAGTCGCTGATGAATCCAGGTGAGCGTAAAGTTGATTTAAAACATCCCGTAATCGTTTAGTGCTTTTCTTGTGCGGGCGCAGCAAAATCGCTTGAAAATTGACAGGCAGTCCGTACCTAAGAACTGATTCAACAAAAACACGCAAAGCTTTAACGTGGATCCATGCGCAAAAGCACTCGCTAAAATTAACTTTTAACCACCGTACGAGGGGTCCAAATTGTTTCTTTTTATCAGTAACGAGCTTGGTCATTTCATTTTTTCCTTGATGTAAAAAGAAAAATAAAATTACAATAAGATTAATAGTTCAATAATATTTCGGATAATAAAGAAAAAAAAAAAAAAGAAAAAAAATACTAACCAGCAGCAAGTTCTTCCTCGTTGTACGTGAAATCACGTACAATGAATTTTTTTTCGCGAGCATGAAGCTTAAATTCTTCAATTACTTTCTTAAAAAGAGTCACTGTAAACAATCCATATTCCTGATCTTGAATTATAAGCTGTGAGCTTCGTGGTACGATCATGTCCGTTAACTTTTCATACATGGCATTCCACTCTTGAAAGCTTGCTCTACAATAAAATTACATATAATTGCTTAGTTGTTAAATTAAAAAAATGAGGAAATGGATTTTTTTTCAAGCTTAAATAATAATACCTCGGTACAATCACGAGTAATGTGGTCAAATATTCGCTATCGAGGATAAAGTGCTCTTTTTTTACAAGATCCGCTAAATTTCGAGTTAATAAACTTCCTCTGTGTAAAAAAATAAACATAGACATTGATATACGGTAATGATAATTAAAAGTATTTAAATGGTTTTACGTTTGTTTCTTCTCGAGGTTTTGCAGACTGCCCTTGAGATTGTTGTAAGTAGTCGATTTCGTTTTAAGATCTGCATCGATTTGACCCACTTGTTTACTTATAATGTCGGCTATATTTCTCAATGACTGTTTGATGGGATACTTGGCCATGTCCCATTGAAATCGTGTTATATATGTTGGCAGATCACCTGGTGCGACAGAATTTTTCAATACAGTGCTTAAATAATACGGTACTTTCACAAGAGATTTAATTGAACTCTATTACGAGTTCAAGGGATATAAAAGAATCGTTCGAGCATAGAAAATAATGATAGGTCATGCTGGTTTAATTAGAAATGGTATTAAGAACAATTCTATATGAGCTATACTATATTATGTTTTAATATAATTTTTATTCTCGATCTACATATGCTTCTACTCTGTGTATGCGTACGTGTACGTGTACATATACATGTACGAGTGCGCGCGTGTGCATGAAGATAGTACCTTTAATACGTGTGAAGTGAATATTTGCAAATGGCAATACATACCGTGTATTGGTTACACACGTCTGTATGTAATATATGCATAGAAACACGCATAGGTAAATATGCCTAGGTAAATGCATCACTATGCATTATAATTTATGGATATTATATGTACTTCCACAGGACTGCGCGCGTATAAATTTAAATATGATAGGTATAAAGTTGTTCGTTTCATGATCTAACGTGGCTTTAATATCATAATAGAGAAAGATTTAATAGACATCAGTGTTACATGGTGTAGTGACATCAACAAAATTTAACATTAGTGAATATTGTAAGGGCAACGAAATGCCGTAGTGTTTACTAAGTAACGATAGGTTTAGTAACACAGTGCAACATGCACCCAAATGACAATGAAGTGCCCCATACTGGTCAAATATCCCCTCCTCGTAGTTTGATCGGAAAGTAACCTGTATTATCTTATGTGAGAAGTAGCATAAAATGTCATTAGTACCGTGATTTCATAAATGCTTAAGATCATGCATAATTCTCATTTTTTATTATTTTTTTATGTTTAAGCAAAACGTAATTGATTATAATAAAATGATTATAATGCCATGATTATAATAAAAATAAAAATATATAAACACACACATGTATATGTATGTATGTATGTATGTATGTATGTGCGTATGTATGTTATGTATGTTATGTATGCACGTATATGTTAGATGTACATATATGTGATGATTGTACAGATTAAGCATGAAATTCACCAAGCTAAAGAATAAATGATTTTAGTTTAATGCGGAGCCATGAAATCTTACAAGCCGCAAGCAGGCGACATGTCAAAGCATTCATTCATGCTAGCTGTTAGTTTCAGGACATTGGATAATTTTTAAAATTATAAATCTTAACAGTCTCATAGAGTTTTAGATTTAGGATAATCGAGATAAATGTCAATTATTAAAAAACACTTTTTATCTTTCAAACGAAGTGCATGCGAGTACGTTAATTTTCGTATGTTGCAGTGTCCCATTGTTCCGATCGATAATCATTATTTATTCGACTCCGTGGAATTTCGATGTTCTGTTATTATCTGTAAATAAGGTGTACGAGTTGTGTCGTGTTGCGTATGTTCAGTATTAAGTCATTCAGTGAAAATTATACACTACACACAGTATTTAAAAGCTTTAAAAAATGAAATAGAAAAAATATAATAAGAAAAGAAAACGACAAAAAAGTACCAGATCGTAAGTGGCGGGATCGAATACGCTTCCTTAGACACGTTCCGAAAAAACAGTTTGTTAAACTGGCTTTTCGATATTCGACTTTTCTTTTTAATACAGTGAGGCGGACTGCAGCAGGATAAGCAGTGGCGCCAAAAAATTGCTTGTGTCTCTATAAGTGGAGGCCAAGATATGAGAGAAGGGATACAAGAGTTTTGTAATGACAATATCATTTCCGTTTTTTTTATTACTTTTGTTTCTTTTTCTCTCTTGAATACATAATATACTGATATTGGGATGAGAAAGAAGAAGAAAAACTAAGGAAGCGAAAGCAATTGGATTGTGATTGACGAGTGGGTGGAACTGTGCACTGTGCCACTCATACGATGTCTTTAGATACTTTAAGTGCACCGAACAGTTGTTACTGTTTTTATTCTCTTGTGTTTTAAGTCTGGTACGCGTGACTTAAGCCACTGCAATAAAAATTTACAAGATCGTTGATTGTTGAGAAGGAAGCAAGGATGGGAATAGAAGCAACCTCTTCTTTAGATGTAGACCGAGAGTCGTGGAGATAGAAATTAGAACGGACAGAAAGACAAATACAAAGAGAGAGAGAGAGAGAGAGAGAGAGAGAGAGAGAGAGAGAGAGAGAGAGAGAGAGAGGTAGGGAGGGAGGGAGGGAGAGAGAGAGAGATAGATAGAGACAGAGAGAAGAGGGAGAAAGTGAGAAAAAAGAGGGTGAAGGAAAAAGGGAGGAGAGTGATAACACCGCGGAAAGGAAGGAGGGTGGGAGGAAGAGAGAAAGAGAGAAAGAGAGAAAAAGAAAGAGAGGGGAGATATCCCAACTACGAGAGGGTGGATGATACGTTAGAGGAGCGGGTGGCGCGGGTGGCAAGGGGCGGTGGCCGTGACGGGACGGGTACCTGGATTGGGCAGTTTGCTGACAGCTTGTTGGTCTTCGTCTTCGTCGTCAGGGTCGTCGTCATTGCGGTCGTCCTGCGGGCAGTCCGGGCTGGCGGTCTGGGCCCGGAATGGTCGGGGGCGGCGCTGTCGTCGGCGGCGACGCCTCGGCCTCGGCCTGCTCGGCTCCTGTTCGAGCTCCTCGTCGCTGCTACAGCTCGACGACGGGGAGCAGGAGATCGAGGGACTGAGAGGACTCGGACTGTGCCGCGGGGAAGGTGTCGAGGGGGTGGATGCCGTGCACCAGTGCGTCTGGTAGCACGAATACATGGAGGAGGAATCGCCCGAAGCTCGGCCCTCGCAGCCACCCTGCGAGCCCGGGCATGATTTCTTATCGTGATGCTGATGATGCTGATGATGTTGATGATGATGATACCGATGGCTTTGGCTATGGCCTTGGCCACAATTCGCCTGATGCTGATGTTGATGGTGATGGTGGTGGGACTCGTGCCGCTCGTCTAGATGATGCTGATGCTGATGCTGATGCTGATGCTGATGCTGATGAGGATGAGGATGATGATGGTGGCGCTGTTGATGGTGTTGCTGACCTAGACAGGCTGCTGATTCAGGCGAGTCGGGCCTCTCGAGCCTGTCCGAGTCCCTCCAATGCCTCTGTTGCTCCTTGCAGGTCGCCGGCTTGTACGAGGGTGTCACGGGCGTGTTGGGTGGGGTGTCCGGACCCCCCTCGGTACTCTCGGCCTCACCGTCCATTGACGTCTGACCTATCCATTACAGCCCAGTCCCAATTCTCCAAAGCGACTTCTCTCATTCTTACGACTGTCTCGCTCAATCTATTTATTTTGCGTCCTACGCCAAAAGCCTAACGACAACGCCGACGAAACTCAACGAAAACAAAGTAACTTAACGGATGTTTCGGCGGTTCAGAGTATTTAATGCGCAGCCCGTCACACCACATCCACGGGCCGTCTTATCTTTTCATTCGGCTTTGTTTTTGTTACGAGCTCGTAATTGACACCGATCGATTAAATACTCTGATCTCGTGGGGGAGTAACAAAATCCAACACAAGCGTAAGGATGATTAACTGAACAAAAGAAAAAAAAAACAACGTGAGGGGGAAGGTGAAAGAAAATAATAATTTGTCGTGGAAGAGAACAGGAAGGCGGATCGATTGGCATGAGCAAACAGTCTACAAAATAGGTTGCAAGATAAATAAGACGATGCAATAAAAGTAATCGTCTTATTAAGACCAAAATTAAAAATAAAAGACTGTCGCGAAAATAAATGCGACAGCATGCCCAAGTTAGGGTGTTGGAGTTAAAGGTTAGGGCTGAAGTAAGAGGCACCGGAAAATTTAAGGAAAAATAATAGAAACAAAACCTATGCGGTGACTAATCGGAGCTTGGTGACCACAGTAACCCAAGCAATTCCTTGCGTTGGCCACTTATCATACTCAAAGTTTCATTATCTCATTTTGTCATCATTGTTTATGGTCATGTTCATGTTGCAAGTATAAGCTTTAGTTCGAATGCATGCGAACTGGAGTTGGTTTTAAGTAACGCGTGCCCGTAAGTGGCATTTTCACTTGGTTCGGTTTTCGTCAATTGGCACATTGCACATATGCCTTGAGAATTCTCACGAATATTTGTATAAAATTTGTTGTATAGGCGGTGCACGTGTATGAGCATTTGTTAGTCAAAACAATGAGTAAGGTACAGGGAGAAAGGGTTAATGTGGTCGAAATAAAAGTAAAGCAAGCAAAGCAACATCACAACAAATACAATTAAAGAAAATAAAATAATCTCCAGCTAAATATAATAAGCCATCTACTGTTACATCAATTATGTACTATACACGACATACACGATTTATTCTTTTGTATTCTTCAGAATCATAATTCGTTTAACAGTTAATCAAACTTAATAAGTAGAAATACGTCGCAGCACGTGAATCAACTAAAATATCAATAACTTTATAGCCATGAAAGCTTGGCCTGCAAATGCATAATATTATTGAATGCAACAATTAAAAGGACATTTTAATTTTATTAATTTCAATAATTAATAATAAATTTTATTTTTTAATCCTATTTAGGTCGCATCAAAACGCCTTCAATAATATTGATTATATTTGACTTCAAAAACTTAAAAAATATATAAAGATTTTATGATATTAATTCATGCACGCTCTTAACTTTTACTAAAATATTACTATTCCAATAATTATAAAAATGTTTTATTCATTTTTACTACATTTTTACTTATGCAATTCATTAATTATCTAATCCATAAACTTAATATAACTCAATTTATTAAAAAAGAAAAGAAAAAAGAAACTATATCTCGTTAAAAGGTAGTTAATATAGTCACATTGATAAATTAAAAAAGAATACAATTTTCATTAAATTAAAAAAATTTAATAATCATTTGATTTAAATTTTTATATGTTGATAATAAATTATTATTACGATAAATTTGTCTACAAAAGTATTATTTCATTCGTTTATGTATTTTTCAGTAAATACACACTAATTAGTTAAAAAATAAATCCATAATACAGTAAATTTATGTTAATTTGGTATAATTTAAAAATAAATGCTTTTCGAATAAATAATAAAAAATAGAATTTAAAAAATAATTTTAAAATAATATTGTGCTAATTTTATATTATGTTAAGCATCTCTGGACTAACCATTTAATCAAGTTATTAACAATACAAAGATATGAAAATGAACAAAAAAGCGTTTGAAATACACGTGAGGTTTGCATTTTATATTTCAATTACAATAAATAAGTTCCATAAACCTTATTACAGATAAAATATTATTAAGTAGTTTTCATTAATTACCTATGAATTTGATTTACGTCATGTTTTATTGATGATCAAAGGATTAAATTTTATCCCTATTAATTTTCATCTTACAAAATTATATAGAATAAAACTTACATTGTTTGAAGACATATATAAAAAATTTAAAAATGAAAATTAAAAAAAAAAAGAATGGATGTGAAAACACTTGATTTTTTAAAGATATTATTTATTAGATACTGATAAGATTAAATTTTAGAAAGGAAATAAATTAATGCAATCTCAACTATAGAAGAGATTGTGAATCGATTGATGTAAATGTAATTTTTAATTTAATTAATCGAATCGAAATTTAATTGCTTTCATAAAATTACATTAGTAATAAATTTTTGTTCTTTCATTTAAATTTATTAAATCTTAATATACACATTTCAAGTAAATTCATAAAATAAGTGTTTTTCGATTCATTTTTAAACAATATAAAATATGGTTGTAATTTTCTGTATTTAATAAAATATAATTTCCCACTAATATTTATAATATAACAATTGACTATATATTTCATAACTTCATTTTATCACAAGAGAATAATTTCAACTCCTTAAAAACAAGTTCATTGAACGATCATAAATATAACGAGGAAAAAAAAAATTTATAAAAAAAACTTTTTTCATGCATACAAAAAATACATTTAAATGAGAAAATTTTTTATTATCTTAAAATAATTATTGGCATTACAGGCAAAACTATCAAGGTTGAGTAAAAGTTATTGAAGTTTTTTAATTGATTAAGGTTAGAATTTAAATTAAAAAAAATAATTTAAAAGTAAAATAAGGCTATATTAAAGAAGTTGTCTATTTATTGAATATATTATATTCAGTACATCAATATGAAAAATAATATAGATACATACATACATACATACATATGCATATATATATATATATATATATATATACACACACGTGTATGTGTGTGTGTGTGTATGTATGCACGAAGAAAAATTATTATATATGGTGTATTTGTTTTGTGTTGTGTATAGTATTCTTTCGCGTCGATTTCTTTTCTTAATTGATAGATTTAAATTGATGGGACATCATACACTAAATTTTAATATATTTTTGTAGGAGAAAATTTGAGAGAATAATCTTGTTTTAAAGAAAAATGCAAATATATTCTTTATTTTATAAATAATAATATTTAGATAAATTTTTATAAAATAACTTAATTCTTGATTAATTTTTCTTGAATTTTCTCGTACAGCATATTATTTTTAGTAGTTCAAACATACAACAGATAAGGAAGTTAATTATAAAAAAGCTGTAAATCAAAAGTGAATACTCACTATTATTGGCCATTAGATTTTCATGAAGTTTATCTCTCTGGTCTTCCAAGACTTCTCCCAAATAAGTAGCCACCTTACGAGTCACCTGCTCAACATACGTGTCAAGCTTACCAAGATCATCCGATAGACCTACCAATTGATCTAAGGTTCCAACTTTAAGATCAGGGATGTGAAACTTGTAATTGATGGATAAAGAATTTTGTTTGGATGTTAGATTGTTCATTGTTTCCCATGTCTGTTGACAAGTTTTGTCACCGGGTGCAGAAATCAACCAATATTCTGTCATTTTGATTTGACAGAATTGTTCCTTGTTACCACTGAAAATGTTAAAATTTTGCAATGCTAATAGTAGAAAATTAAATTTCATTTTAAAATAGTATATAAAGCATTTATCAGTATTTATTTGTCGTTTGTTGAACGAATGCTAAGATCTCCAGTACAATATATTATTATTATTACCTAGGTAAGTTTTATAAGAATTATACAAGGTCATCTAATAGTTGCAAATTATATCTATTTTTTGGTAAACAACAAATATGGTGCTTTTTAATATCTTTCTAAAATGAATGATTTTGCGTCTCAATTTGGTACGTTATAAACATAAGAGACATGTGCCTGGGGTGCGCGTAATTTCCGAATAACTTCTTACAGTTTCAATCGATCAGTTCAACTTCGATGAATTTAAATATCGAGATAAAATTAAGTAACCCACTCGTAAAGAGCACGATAGGCATAATTTGCCAACTGTATAATCGACCGTTACAAAATGTCTTAATTAATCTGTAGCGACAAGAACCTCCTGTAAACAACCACCTGCTCAACGAGATTTCGTGGTAAAGGCGTTTTGCGTAAAAGAATCCGAATCATTTAAAAAAAAAAAAGAAAAAGTATTAGAAAATATTGTTGGCAGTCTCGTTAGATATCAAGATATAAAATTGATTATTTGTAGTAAATAAGGGGGTTCGATCACGGGCTAATTATCGGCTCGAAGAAACAAGTGTACAGGCCATTCAAGGGGGTGTGGCACACTGCGACTCCTCGTGAAATATTACGTAAGCCTAGATGTATGCTTTCCACGTGACTGCGAGACCGAGAAAATACCGCAACTCAAAGAGCGCGCTAAGACTTGACTTGTGTTCGTACTATCGACAACAATGAGGATCGCGGAAAAGATGCGCGACGCTTCGTAACATAGCGAGAGGATGTCGAGTAAAGAAGCCGACGCGATGGCACCTAGGTGTCCTTGAACGAGCGCCTCTATGAGGTCCGTCTGGGCTGGCAACTGGGCGCCCGTCTTTGTCGAAAATCAATATTGAAGCGCACGGGCGCGCGCGAGGGAGCGCGACTCCATTTTATCAATCGCCACTATATAACGTGCTCGGGGCCGAGGTCGCGACAAATGCCCAGCATTGCCTATGCAGGCAATAGCGAACCTTTAAAATCCGGTGCTTTTGGCAGAGCGAGCCCGACTTTGATATCCGAGGGCGATGGCGTGGCACTCTCGGCCCCCGAGTAAACGGCGAGGACGAGGAGCAGCAGCGTAAATCACGCGAACGAGAGTACGTCATTATCCGCATCTCGGCTTCTTTTCGATAATTTTATCGCTAATTTTAATGGACCACGAGTCAAAAGCGATCGCGTATACCACTTGAATCTCACTGCCTACCTGGATGCGACTCTGATGATCTTGGTAGACTCGATGCACTCGGGAGGACGACCCGACAACGTCCTTTCCGCGAAAATTCGTGGAGTCGCTTCGACTTACTCTCTTCTCGTCCCAACCATTGTATTGTCTTTCTCTCACTCACACAGATACCGAACCTCCGAACCGCCTCACGTGATAGGAGTGCTGCAGTCTTGCGACTCACCCGACAACTAAAGCCGCTCTACCAGGCCACGATACAAAACAGCTGACTACCGCACGTTAGCCATGCCAACGCTACGCCGCTAAATTGGTGAGATTCTTAATCTGCCTTCTCTTTCAATTACAAATTCATCCTACTTTTAATCCCTTGTACGTGCCCTTGACATTTTTCATTATTTAATCTGTACTATTTATTCACAAAAGATATTTGTAAGTAAAAGTCACTTTCATATGCTATTGCCATAATTTTTTCTCCAGGTTGGCCTAACTTGATCACTTGGCACGCTAATGTGCGTCGTAAGTTTCAATTTACGGCCGATACGTATGGCCTGCAGATCTAACGTGTGTGAGTCATAAAAGGTTAGAGGCAATATTGTCTGACAGTTGATACGATATATTGTAAACAATTTTGTTAAAAAATTAGCATTTTTTAACAATGGGTTGCGATGGAGGAACAATACCTAGACGAGATGAGCTCGTTAGAATAAAAAAGAAGCCAGAACAAGTATGAATAAATTCTTGGGCTAAGTCGTTGCCATTAATGTTTTTTTATTCTGTCACACTTTTATTCGTAGCGTTGAGCGTTATGCTTAATAAATAATAATGATTTTGGCAAGTTATAAATATTAGTTTCATATTGTCAAAGAGCCTTTTAAATAATTATCCTTTGGAAATTATGATCGATAGAATTTATAAGCTTATCAAAATCGATATTATCCATCATTGGATTGATTACATTATTATTTTAATGCTCTTTTATTACATTTTTGAACTAGTTAATATTCAAAATACATACTCTTTAAATATTAAATTTATATCTTTAATAAATAATAAAATTGGTAACATGCTTTTGATTAATAGAAAGATAAGGAAGCAGAATTGGCTTATCGTTGGAGACATTGTTCTATTCGACAACTTCCATTACAAGCTCCTATTGTAGCGTGTGGTTTAGGAAGATTGTATAGTAAGGAAGCAGTGCTTGAGGGATTACTCGATCGTTCTACACTTTCTGAATCAGCGACTCACATTAAAAATTTGAAAGATGTAAAGAATCTTAATCTTACCCCAAATCCGGCTTTTGATGGGGATATAGCAAAAAATGGTGGTTACATAGATGATGGACGGAGTCCATTTATTTGTCCCGTCATTGGTTTGGAAATGAATGGAAAATATAAGTTTTGTTTTCTATGGAATTGTGGATGTGTAATAAGCGAACGTGCACTAAAAGAAATAAAAACTTATGTAAGTATCAATCAATTATTTGAGCATTTTATAAACTAAATATGTTAATAATTTAAATATTGTTGTAATTCAGTACATAAATTAATTACAAATTATTGTGATATAAGAATAATTAAGTTTAATTATTTCATATTTCATAATGATTATATATATACATATATAAAAATGTATATATTTAAATTCAGTAAAATAAATTGATAAATATTAAATAAAACTTGCTGATTTAATATAAAATATTAAACTGTTTCATTGATTTTAATAATATTTCTTTATAATTCTTTTAGACTTGTCACAAATGTCAACAACCTTTTACCGACACAGATATAGTTATTTTAAATGCTCAAGATGAAGATTTCAAAAATATGGAAGAAAATATTATTACACGTAAAGTTGAACGTAAGTCTAAAAAAAGATCAAGTAATGCAGGTTGTACCGATACAGTAAAAGAGGAAGTATCGAGTAAGAAAGTTAAAAAAGAAAAATTAGATAAAACACAAACTACGCAAATTAAATCGAAAAAAGAACCACAAGATCCTGCTTATGAAAAATCCAAAGAAGATTATAGTGTTGCTCAAGATCCAAATGCATCAGAGGTTTTGAAAAGTATCTTTACAACACATAAAACTGCTTCAGAGCAGACTAGAGCTCATTGGGTTACATATAATCCATTCTATAATTAGTAAAATTAGTAATGATAAAAATATATAAAAAAATATTAAATTTATTTTCCATTGTAAATAAAGTACTATATCTATATTTACAATTTTAATATTAAACATAATATTAGACTAAATTTATGTCGCTATTGATTATCATTGAACATATTAAGCCAATCATTAAGTTATTTTAGAATTGTTTAATTATTGTAGTAAATTTTTATTTAGTAATAATTTCATCCAATTATGTATTTTATTAATTTTCGTTCGATTTTTTAAAATAAACAATACAGAATTTTCTTATATTTCACATACGTACTACAATGGTTAAATCTCTATTCTTTTAACATTTTAAAACATTTTAATATATTGTTTTAATACTTTTTAATAATATAAATAAAAATGTAATTCTCATAAAATATTAACTGTTAATATTTTATTTTTAATAATTGTGCGGTATAAATAAATTATTAAAAATCTTTGATATTATAACGCATAAGAAAATAAAGATTTTTCTTTTTTAACGGCAGTCACGTGTTAAGAAAAACAGATGTATGCATATAAAAAAAAACATTTCTTATAATATTAATGGATACAAGATAATCTCTGAAAATCAACACTTATTCAATTGTACTTTGTAGTGCAAGCACTATATAGTAAGCACTCTGCGAGTAGCAATTGCTTGTATCACCCTTTGCAGTCTGCCAACTGCTCTATTTCTACGAGATCGCTTTGTTGTGCAACAACACCATCGATTGAAAGCTATAATAATTAGTACAGTTAAAATTATTAATCCTAGTATGTATCCCAAATGTCCAAATTTTATTCGGCTTAAATTATCCACTTGTGCGTTTACTTTTGTTTTATGAATATCCCGAGGAATTAGTGCATCGAGCTTTATTGCACCACCACGCCTGGAATTCCACAGAAGATCTGAATCTTGTGATAATGAAACTGCAGAAATTAGAGAACTTCCAACTGATAGTAGTTTTTGAGATTTATATAAAATCCTGATATAAATAAATATACATTATATTAAATTATTGCAAATATAAAAACATTATATTTAAAAAAAAAATATGTTAATTACACTGGTGCTGTTTCATTTAATGGCTCTGGAGTGGCTAATATTGAAATTGGACATGAAGGAAGAGGACGGTAATGAAGAGCAGAACCTGCAGGTTCTAGTACTTTACTATGTCGATTTAAATGACTATCTGCCATGCGTTTAGGAAGATCTGTTGTGTCCAATGACATAATATTTCTCTTTCCTTTAATACGATTTTCTTCTTCAATAAAAACTGATGGTATTCGACCTGTTGTAGCATATTCCAGAATTGCATCCAACATCCAAAAACAAGCTTATAATAAAAAAATTATATTGCAATATTTTTCATTTTTTATTTTAATTTAATTAATTAATTATCCATCATTTAATAATTACGTTTATGTGAATGACTGTCGTCGATGCAATTTGAATCTCCATACACTACAATTCTTCCAGAAGTACTGAATTTAGGTTCAGATTCCTTTGTTTTCCTAATTTGATTTCTTTTAAAATTATTTACTTGTACAAGTCCTAGAATTGGTACATAACGTAAATTTCCTATTTCAGATTTTGATAATAATTCTTCCCCTTGATCTCGTAATTCTGCATGCATAAGAAAACCTTCACTAGGAAACCTGTTATGGAAATATTTTATATTTAATCCAAATGATAATTTGTAATCAAAATTATATAATAAACTTTTTACCTTGTAATAACAGTGCCAGAAGCAAAAGTCACTGGAGAATGTTGTCCTAAAATAAATTGACCATCTCTAACACTATCACCAAAAGCAATACCCCAATTTTTATATAATAAATCATTTAAAGCAGGTACATTTGCTCCTCCTGTTTCTGGTATCCACCATTGTCGAGTATTATCATCATAAAATTTAACTTGACGCATTACCGTTACATTATACCAATCGGCAAATATTACTAAGGCTAGTCCCTCATCTACATCCTTTTTTAATTTTAAAATCTAAAATAGAGAAAATATCATTACCATCGTATGTACATAAATTAAAATTTATCAATAAAATACTATGTATTATATATATATATATATATATATATTGCATTTACCTCGTTAGGAAAGAACTCTTCTTCAGTATCAACAATAAGCAAAGTTCCATAATTACGAGCATTGAAACATGTAAAGGGTGTTCCCAATACTTCAAGATAATATCCTGCATTACGCAAATGCTGATACATGTCTTTAAAATTTGTATGAATATGATCTCCATTCCAATCAAGTGGATCATTTTTGGCTTTCAAATTATCACGAGGAAAATATCCTGGAGGATATCTTAAATTATGGTATTGATCCCACAGAATTCGTTTACTAATAAATTATAAATAATTACTTCGTTAGTTAACAGTTGAAATGAATAAAAACGAATGTATATATAAAAGTATAACATTTTCATTCATTATTTGTTTTTTTTTTATTATTCATTTTAATTGACTAATTATTTTGTTCAACTCTAACTGTAATGCAGTGCAATGTCTCATAACATTTTAATGAACATTAAAATCCATTATTACTTATTTCAATGATTACTAAATATAGCCATGTCAATGACTATGAAATTATAAAATTTTTAACAATTATATAATATATTTTTGCATCTCAAAATTTTATTTTATAAAAATAATTCTAATTTAAAATGTATTGAGTAATTAATTTTGATTTTTATTGTTAATATAAGTTCTGTTTGTATAAGTTAATAAGATAACAAATTTTTTCATTTAAATAAAATTGACTACTTCGAATTGTGCAAAACATGTAGTGAAAATAAAGTAAATAACTGACAGTCAATAGGAAATTTATAGAAATATTAATTTTCTTTTGTACTTATAATTAATAAGTTATCGAATTTCTGTAATTTTAAATAAAAATTAACTTACTGACGTGGAGGAGTAGGTATAATTTTAGCTTTCAATGGTAATTTAACAGTTGAACTTCTCGGTTTTTGATCACTGTTACTTGGTGGTGATTGTATGGTTAAACTAATATGTCCTTTTAATAATATTAAATTATTTGATAATAATTATTTAAAGTCAATTGTATTAAAAATATGAATATAAAAGTTTATTATATTTAAAGAAAAAATGTACCTTGAGCAACGCCTTGCCAATCCTTGGAAGTAGCTGGAACAGTAATTGCTACTGCTAACCATCCAGACCAAGGCCAAAGAATATCACAGTGTGTTAAAGAGACATCGATACGTTCACCATTATTATCACGAGTGTATGGATGCCATGTTAATTCAGTAACTATTGCTTGGGTACAATATGGCCACATGTATTGACATTCTGTTAAATCTATATAACTATAAATATGACAGTTTATTGAAAGAGACAATGGTAAATATTATTAAATGCATAATATCCAACAACGAGACTAGAAATACATATGAAACTTATGATTTTACTTTGGACTCAGTGTTGCTCTTGGAGAATATGAACGTAAGTAATGAAATGCACTCAAAAGATCTAAACGACCCGCACCTTGTTCAAACATTCCAATACCAGATAAACGTTGAGCTGTTCCTAATAAGGCTTGTTTCATACTAGCAGGAGTAATCTTTAATAAAAAAATTAAGATAAAAGCATCATAAATCTGCAGAAATATTAAACTTTAAGGTATTAATGAGTAGACAAAGCAAAGAAAATGTTTTATTTAAATTTAAAACCAAATATTTAAAAAATTTTAAATAAAACACTTAAACTAAAATTTATTATTAGATAAAAATTTTAATTATTAGTTATAAAAAAACTATTTTCTTGTAATATGTAAATTTGAATTACTTTGTTTTAATTCTTTGTTTACCTTTTGTTCAAAATTTATGGAATTGTTAGAATTTATAAAACCACTCGCTAATAAAGCTACAGCTCCAGCAACAACTGGGCTAGCTACCGAAGTGCCAGATAAGGATTTGCAACCACTTTTTAAAGCAGATCCATGAACCCCAGATCCATATGTAACAAGATCAGGTTTGAGTCTTCCATAGCCTGCAGGTAGTTCCCATGTTGTCATACCACGCGATGAAAACTTTGCTATTTGATCTTCCCAATTAATTCCACCAACACCAACAACATCCATTTGATCAGCAGGATTATTTAAAGTACTATAAATAAATAATAATACTAACTAGAATATCTTACAACATATTATTCTTATACTTTTTTATATTTACCCATAAAGAGGCCCATCATTACCGATAGCTGAAACCATAATAACACCATTGGCAGTAAGCTCCCAAACTTTATCAACAAAAGGATGATCCATAAAATCAGGTCCACCAATACTAAGATTTAAAACTGTTATTTTCGCAAGAATTGCATAATTAAAAGCATCAAGGAACCATGAAGTATATGACACCTATAAATAGTTTATACTTCTTTTTATTATAATGAAATATGAGAGTAAATTAATTACAAGCAGCTTATATACCTGAGCATTTGTAAATACTCGGAATATATAAAGATCGGCATCAGGAGCAAAACCTAAACATTCTTGCGAAGATGCAATGACACCTGCAACAAAGGTTCCATGACCCAGACCATCTTCAAGAGTCTTCTCATTTGTCCAATTAGTGCGTTCTTTTATTTTTTTAAAATGAGGATGACTCGCAGCTAATCCAGTATCAAATATTGCTACCTAATATTATTATTATATATTAAAAACTCATTATTATATTATTGATAAATATTTATTAAATTTATTTCCGATTACCTTAACTCCTTTACCTGTAACTCCTAACTTCCAAAGGGTTTCAGCTTGCAGTATATTTGTAATTTGTCGAGGAGTTGCACGTAATAACTTCCTAGATTTATATTGCTTAGATTGATGCCAAAACATTTTTTTCTAAAATTCATAATGAAATATTTAAAACCACCATTATTTATATTTATTAATTACTTAAAATATTAAATAAAGTATTGTACATTATTATTAATTTTTCTTCTAAAACTTTTATATTCCGGTAATAATTCATCTTTATCACTTTTCAAATACTTTAACGTTCTATGAACCAATTTTTGAGAAGTTATTCTTTGAATCGATGGGTGACCTTTTAAAGCATCGATACCATTTTGTTTACTAGCTTCTTTAATCTGTACTATATCAAAATCACTTGGATATTTTGAAGCTAGATTATCTCTAGATATAATCTTCCAATCATTTATTCCAGAAGAAGAAAACGCAGCTTTTATATAATTTTTACGCGTTTCTTTTTTATAATATCCATTAAATGTAACAATATACTCATCATCAACAATTTGCGAAGAAAATTTAATATTTATACCCTGAGTTTTATAAGATGTGTTACAAAAATTTACATCATATTTAAGACATGATATCGCATTTGTCTTATAACAATAATTGGTTTCGTTTACAGATTGTTGCTGTATTAGGTTGTGACATATTTCAATAATATTATATAATAATAACAATACTGAAACGCGAATCCAACAAATCCTTGGCTTCATACTATGTATCAAACCTGCTAAAATTATAATTTTAGTATTGAATTATTGCCATAATATAAATAGAGATTAATTCATTTATAACATATTTATAATTAAAAGAAATATTAATTGTAAAAATAACAATTAAAAAAAATTACAAAATCAACAGGAAATTCTTGCTTTATCTTCTTCATTTCATATTTGGTAACCTAAAATTTTCCTTTTCACCGTTCGCTTTTCTTAATTATGCTCTATCACTTATTTAATTTCTTAATATCAAATATTTTCTCGATTAAAACATATGATGAAATTAATTTTTAAAATACGAACACACATTTTTTATGTTTGTTATAAATTTTATAGCTTTATGATAGAAAAATCGTAATTGTCATTTGTTAACTAATTTTGGTCGTGACGTTAGAAGAACTCTGAGGTGGAATGTATTCCGATATGCTCGACTGACAATTAGAAATCACATGAATTGACATGCACGTGAACATGTGTATATTGTTGACAATGGATAACCTGCGTTCTACGAATGATATATGCATACATGATAAATATACATATATGCATAAATATAAAAGAAATTGAAATGAATTTCACAGATCAGTAAGATATAGGAAATGGCAATGTGTCAGTTTAGCAAATTTAAAAATTGTTAATAAGATTTAAATTAGATTGAAATTTAGAATGTTATTATTAAAATCATTACATTAATATACTTAAATAATGAACGTTGAAGAAGGTTCGTTGTATTTTAATAATAAATTTTATATTAGAACATATGTATTATAAATTAAAGAAAAATAAAAAATCATAACTAGTCTATTATTAGGATTTTTATATCGTATTGTATATATTTTTGCGACAAAAATTTCAATATCTTCATTTTTACCATTTTCTAGTAAATATTTCATTATTTTATTTTTTACAGTCAAATTCTTTAAATCTACTATAGAGCTTATTAAATAAAAATATATTGCACTATTTTTATATTTTTATGTTATATTAAAATTGTAAACCATCTGCAAAAGATAAAAGCAATCCAGTATGAATAATATAGAATTTTTATAATTAATTAGCCAATAAAAGGAAATATCATAAGTAATATAAAGTATTTATTTATAATAATAAATAAAGTATTATCTCAATAGTGTTTAAGGAGAAGTGCCGATTATACGTGAATAAACTAGGTACAAGTAGGTTTAAACAATTATTTTGATAGCTAAATAATAGTCGAATTAACACATAAATTTGTTAGGTTTTGATATATAGAAAGGAAAGTAAATTTAAAAAATATTTTACTCTGACACATCATATTGGTAAAGTAAGTTTGCGAAATTTGATCTAATTATATGCAATTCAAAATCTGTAAAAGGTTTCATTAAAAAAAAAGCATTATATATTGGTTTTCATATAATTGAAATTTTGTATGAATTAAAATATAATATTAAAAAAATTTTACTAATAATTTAAAAATGACATTGAATTAATTTTACATACAATTTTATATAATTTATTCATTTGGTTTGATAAGTTCAATAATGGAAATGAATACACTAATTAATAAATTCATAAACGGATTATATTTCTTAACATTTAAAAGATTATCTGCATTTAGAAAAATAACTTAAAATGTATTAATAATGTCAGAAACAATACATGATAGAAGTAGATACAGAAAAAGCAAAATTCTCTATTGAAAATATTTTTAACTTATAATTAGAACTCTAATTATAAATGATTTTCTTTTTTACGTTAATATTTTATATTTCTCTAGTATCTATGTTACCTTATACAACATTATTAATGATTTCTCCTTAAGCATAGATATATCTACGTGCTTATAATTTTATTTTTATTATTTATAAAGATTATTATTACATTGCTTTAGATTTTAATTAACATTAAATTACATTATTAACATTGTAATTAAAATTGTAACTTAAAAATTCGATATTTACAGTTATTTTTTATGTATGGGTAAGTAATAATGTCTAAATAGGTTGAATTTGTAATAATTATTTTATATCGCGAATTACGATGTAAAATCTTTTGCCTTATAGGTAATTATGAAAATAGGGAAGTCACGTGGAGTCTACTTTATATTTGTATTAAAGAAACGCCGATAAAAATAGAAATAAAATGTACATGCCCACATTTAAAATAAAGAAGATTTCTTCTTAATACCAACGCAGATTTCAAGAATAGAAAAAAGGAGTGCTGTTCTTGAATATTTATCCTATATACTTTAAATGAAACAAATTAATCTTTGAAAATTAAAATATATTTCGTTATTTATCTACAATTTTTTAAATTTTTGTTATATACTTTTTATTAAATCTCACACACTGGAATAACTGATTAGTTCTATCTATGCCATTTGTACGTTTGTATATTCGTTACTACAAAAGTAATAAATAATTATTAATCCGTTAAATTGAAATAATTACATTTAAACTAATCACGTATTTTCTACTTATATACTTTTTTTATTTATTGATTTTATAGTAATAGTTTAAAAAGTCGTTAAATATATTAATTTACCGCGTATATGGATTTATAGAATTCATATTCATCCTTCATTTAATAATAATAAAGAAACAATAACAATAATAACTATTATATAGATAATAAGGATTATGTTGATAATGATAATAATTATAAAATAATGATTAAATAAATTTTGTGTATAGAATGATTTTTATAGATTTTATTCAAGTTTTTTTTTTATAATGATAATTAAATTAATTTATATGAATAATAATTTTATGTGCTAATTCTTAAAATATTTTAAGAGTGAATTATTTTTACTATCTTACAATACACTTATCGCATAGCATTCTTTATTATTAAATGAAATAATAAAGTAATTAAAAGTAATTACATATTCTGTTATTTGATTTTTTTAATGTTGTGTCTTTTTAGGTCATATTAATAAAATATCTTTAATAAAGTAAATTAAAATTTTATTTTGATGGTTTAAAACAAATGTTATGTAGGTGTTAGTTGAATGGTAATTAAATTTTGATATTGATTTATGGAAAGGATAAATAAAAGTATTTATGAAAATCTCATTATTTACTATGTATATTTCTAATAGAAAAAAATACAATTTTTTAAAACGTATATTAAATTTAACTTTTATTTCAAGTTTAATTGATAAAGTGCATGTTAAAAAGTAACCATTTTTATTTTGTCTAATTTTAGTTTTTTACTACCGATTATCATGGATATTAATATTGCTTATTATATTTCTAATAGTAGTATATTTTCTAGAAGAAAATTTCGTAAGTATTTTTCTCGATCGAATTATTTCATTGTGTAAGCTGTAAATATTCAACAATTAATTAAAATAATTGATTTGTAATTTATTCATTTGTAATTTATTATGTTTTTTCATTACTTATTATTTTATTTACGCTACTACTATATTCTAACAAAATCATTTTCTTCATTTGAAATAGAACATTTCTTTTAGCTTGTAATCCTTTTATGATTTGTAAATATAAAGTGGATATTCATTTTTTGTTTTATAAATAAATTAAAAAATATATTCTTAAATTAGTTGTAATTATTTTTTATTAGATGAAACGCACTTTCTTACAATCATCATGCTTTACAAAAATATATATACACACACACATACACACACATATCTATATATATATATATATTATGAAAAACTTATGTAACAAATCAATGGACTTTTTTAATGAATTTAAAAGATATTGATTCTTATTTTAAACATTAAAACATATACTATATGTGATATGTATTTTAAATTCATATGTTATTATAATTTATTTATTAATCATTCATATAGTAATTTTATACTTTCTATTTCTTTTCGTCTTCTTCTTCTTCTTCTTCTTCGAATAAATTTATTTTATAAAATGTTTATACTTCATTTTCTAAGTGTTGCAATATCAATAATTAAATAACAATATTTTTTATAAAAAAATATAATAAATGATAAATGCAAGCATTCAAGATCATATATTTATGTTCAAATTTTCAATAAAATAATATATTAAAGATATAATTGACTAAATTGTCTCATTTGCATTGTAAAGTTCAATTTATAATTTTAAATTCGTATAAGCTGTATTTTTTAATAACTGTATAATTTCTAAAACACCAATTTTATATTTAATATTATAGACCTTATATTTTTAAAAGCAATGCAGTATAATATTTAGGTAAAAAAGAAATTGCAATGTTATTTAATACAGTTTCTTATTATTAAAATATTTAAAATGCCCGTAAATAACGGAAATTGAGAATTTTACTCGATAGAAAATATTCGCTTTAACCTGTGTTATTGTATTTCATTGATAATTGAAATTGTTGAATTATTGTATAATTTGAATAATCTATACAATTTATCAATTTTATCATGAAATGTTCAAATGTGATTACTCACCATATATGCATTAAGCATAAAATATACCTCTCTAGATTCAATGGCTTTAATTCATTACTACAATGTTGACATATTCTAATAGTTACCATAGTAACAAAATAATTTGTAAACAAATATGGTCACGAATATCAAAATTCAAGAGGACATCGCGTTCTGTTCATAAAAAAGAAAATGCATACGAAGGGTCGATCTTTTTCAATTGTAATTCAGATCTTGAGGTATTCAAATCTTGTGTTTACAAGGTGAGAAATTTACTTTTCCATAATATTATAGTAATTAATTATAATAAAAAATAACCAATACTAACAATTAATCAGATATTTGTTTACTAGTTTATAACATAAAAGATAATAGTTTTGCATTAGGGTATTAAAAAAAATAATAGCAATACAAGAATATATATATTTAAAGGCTTAAATACAGATTTTATTTTGTTAATTTGATAAAAAAAAAAAGAAGAAAAGAAAGTATTCTTTCAATTATTAAAAATTATATGAGCAAAGCTTGATACCTTACCTTCAACCGAATAACTAACTCACGACTAATAATTCAGAATTATTAAAGAATTAAAGTAAGAAATAATATACATCTAATTTAAATGAAATGTTTTAATTTTATTATTAAAAACATTTTCAGAAAAATTGTCACTTATGAATTATTATATATTTTATTCAATGCAGTTCAACATGATAATTATATATGATTTATAGAGATAAAAAGAGATATGACAGTATTTGAAATAAATTCGTTAAGATCATAAATTTAGAAAGACATTTTAACACAAGTACACAATGGTACAGTAAAGTGTCAATCACTTTATTCGCTCAATAATAACATTTAATAATACATAATTTAAACGATAAACATATTCCTTGTAATTTTTACATGACATGATCATTACTTTATTCAAGATACACTTGATTGTTGGTACAATCCTAAAATTTCATTTATAGTAGGCAACTATTGTGTTGTATTTAAGATTTGTAATATTTATTTTTGTAATTTTATCATAATTTATACAAGTAATAGCAAGTCTTTGCAAAAAGACTCATATGTTCTGTTTTATTCTGATGTAATCTGGATTAATAAGGTCAACAAGTTGAGCGCTTTGAAAGTTGAATGTCGTTTAACGACTAAGTTTAAATATTATGTAACGTATATTGAATCTTATGTGTCAAATTGAACGCTATTGCGTATCCATTCATCCATCCCATTAACATATGTACAGAATACCCTCTCAACGCAAAATGTGAACAGATTAAGGCTCCAGCAGGTTATAGGCTATCTTCTACAATGTACAATTTCTTATGTACTTAGTTCTTTCCTTTTCCCACGTCTTCGTCTGGCTGTGCAATGCTATGGTAAGCAGTAGCACCAAAAGAGACTATGCACCACTTCTCTAGTTGGCACAGAATTATTAAGTAGTGTAAAAATTACAATAAAAAATAGCAACCTTATATAAAAATTGATTAAGAACGTTATAAATAGTGTAAAAGCGAAATTGAGAAAATGTTCAGGGCTGTTGCAAAAAATGAATTTCACTCAAAAATTTAATAGAAAGACACAAGTGTATTAATGATTGATATTCTCTAGGATCAAACTTCTATTATATATGTACACAATGTGTTTGAATAAAATATAATATTCAGTTCGTTATCAAGATTGAGATGTATCTTGCATTTAAATGTGCACTTTGAAACTTGGAACAAGATTCTTGCCTGACACAAGAAATTATTATTCTTATATAAAATATACAAGTAAATTGGCTACTATTTGACAGAGTAGTTATCCTATGCAATTTGATTATTGAAAATTGCTAGGATTACTGGATCTGAGGTGCCGAATAGTGCACGAGCGAGCTTTGACCAAATATTTTATTACACATAGTAATGTTACATTTGCTCCCATGCAATAACACCTCCAGACCACGTGCAACCAAATTGCGCTTTTATAATTACTTCTCTTAATAATATATAAAAAATCTAGTTCTATTGACTTTTGAGTTCCTTGCCAATACTATACGATACAATTTTATTCCAGTCAATTTTTGTTCGCATGACAGGTAATTGCCTGCGCAATGCCTTGAAGGTCGTATCAGACATTGTTTGATAATTTTCAGAAATTGCAGTCTGATAATCGTTTTCAGATTCTTGAACAAGCCGTATTAATTCCTTGGCTGTCTGTTTTTCCGAAGATATTGCTAAACTCTCTTTTACCTCTTTGCTACTAACTAATTGAACATTACCATCTTCATAATAATGAACCTGAACTTTTAAGCTTCCCTTTAATTCAGCTGTACCCGAATTAGTACTAAAACTTACTGTCCATACTGAACGCCAACGTCCATTCCAAAAGTTTTTTGGTTGAAATTGATGATCTTCTATGCAGGCCGTTAGGGTAATATTTTCTGTAATCCATTTATTGAAAATTATAAACTTCTATGAAGACTTTTAAAATAAAAGCTTTAACCTTACCTCCTTGACTCTTGGCGAAAACAGAACAAGAGCCATGTCTATAATGACTCTGTGTATAAGCAAATATCTCTTCCTGTAATGCCAACCTCCACGGTTCTGCTGTTACGTCGGTTTCATAGGGCTCGTAATCTTGTGCTTCCTTTCTCAGGTGGTCATACTTAAAGCTCTGCTTAGTACGTGGATCGTAAAACCTCTGATTTCCCAAGTCATTGTATTCTGTTATAAGAACTGGATAATCACTACTGTCGATCTATTACAAACATTTTACAATGTAAATATAAAAATGTATGCGTTAAAAAGACAATTGAAATTTACTAATGGGATTTTACGGTTCGATTTTTGAAGTGAGCTTACTCACTACAGCTACTAAAATTAACAACAATATCTAATCTAATGATAATTGCTCGCTAAAAATTCGCTACGATTTACAATTATACGAGATACGCGTTATCGCTGATGCGCAAGATCGCTGGCAAGAAAAGGCCGTGAAAGGAAAAATTAAAAGATTCGGGATATGGAAGCCGAAGGATGACGAAAATGAGTAAAGTCGTATCTCATTGTGTGCATTCGATTTCGACTACGAGCGAATGAGAATGATTTCTACCTTAACAGACATGAGCTGATCTTTGTTGTACTGAGCGAACGCCCCGGAGGCGCCCTCCTTAAGGAGATTGTCGTTGTTAAGCAGGATTCGGACATCGTTGAAAACCTCGTTGAACTCGCCCGGGGGCGAATGTAATATAAAGTCCGAGACTATTCGGACTTTTTCCTGGTCGGGAATCGCATCTCCGTCCGCCGCCATCTTGCCTTCGGTGGCCACTGCCACCATGAGCCAGCGACAAGGCCTTAGCCACAGTACGTGCCAGCGTGTGTGCCCCCGTTTCCTCCTCGTCCCTACCCGTCGGCCAATCGCCGTCAGCTCCCTCCTGCCAGCAGAGCAGCCTTTTAACGAACGCGCGCCCTCTGAATGCTTTCCGCCCCCGCCCCCCCCCCCCCCCCCCGCCAATAGACAACAGTGTGCATCACGAGATTAAGGGCTCCTCTTTGACACTTCCCCATTCGCCGCTATCCCACGCTTTTGTTATTTATTCGGCCGAGAATATCTAAAGCAGCGATTTGACTCTGCCAATTGGTGGCTCACCATACTCATCAAGGCTTATCGGCGCGCGTCATCATCGTTGCATTGACCCGATGTGGATTCGTTGTTGATCCATGATCTTTGATAATGCTACATCTTCTTTCAGGTAGGTCGCATTCGATGCCAGGACGATGACCGATCATCTGGATAGGGACCTTCATCCCGTGAAGGAGGACTCGTCGATTGACACCTGCCATTGCAGTATAGGTTTGCAAATTCTCGTATCAGTTAATCAGGAATCACCGCTTAAATTCGTCGATTTATCATAGTCATATATATATATATTTAATGCTTTGCGCACTCTAATGATTACTTTATTAATGCGCGAATGTCATTTCGCGGATCTCTTATATTGCGCGATCGGTACTCGAATATTTTGAAAGCCATTTGCAATTTGCACAGTGTAAGAACGACATAAGACATCAAAAGTGTGAAAATAAAATAATGAAAGATCCTAGGGAGCGGCATATTGTGTGTAAACTCGATCGCTACGAACTCGAGGACAGGTACCTGCGATTACTGGAAGAGGTAAATTCGCTTAAGAAACTATCCAACAGCCAGGAGGATAAGATCAAAAGACTCGCCACCAAACTGATGAGGTATGGAGTGAATCCTCGTACCTGCATCGCCACTGTTGACGTTACCAATGACCGCGAAAGACTTTTACATTTGGAAAACGAAAATTCCAAGGTTATACATTAATGATTTAATAAAGAATATCGATTGTTGAATATTTTTAATCCTTTTATTGCGTTTTCTAATGCTCTTATGGCTTTATTTATTTTTTTTTTGTTTTTTTTTTTTTTTTTTTTTTTTTTTTTTTTTTTTTTTTTTTTTTTTTTTTTTTTTTTTTTTTTTTTTTTATTAAATTAGCTCAAAAACCAAATGTGTATTCTTCGAAATCAACTGATGAATAATAAAATTTTTGCGAGGTCGCCTCCTCGTGTTCGTAGACTCGGATCTACATCAGGCTTAATGTAAGTAGTAATTTAAGTTTTTCTTTTAACTTTAATTTCACCATCAACTCTGTAGGGGAGAATGGGCCGAGTTTCATTACTGCTTCTCAAATTAAATATTTTTTTTCTTTTTTTTTTTTTCAATTCATAATAAAAAAGATAGTTGACATTTTGTATTTTTCTTTACTATATCGAGTTTTACAATTTATTATAATTTGCGAATTGATAAGCGTACCAAAACTAACTGTACGCGACGTTGAATTTATAAAGTTTTCTCGATGCTTCGTTATTTATAAGTATTCGATGAAGCCCATTTTGGCTTTATTCCCGATGCTATTGCAATACAGTCACTTCTACATTTAGTAACTTGATAAGGAATTTTTCAATTTTAAAGATAATTTATATCATTTTTAACATTGTTTTCACATCCTCATAAATTGAAATAGTTTCCTAAAGTGCTCGGTAAATTTTTATAATTAATATGACAATTATTATTTAGCATTTAACAATGAACGTATAGTTACTTTTCTTTCTTTTTTTTTTATGTGATAAATTGTATAAAAATAATAAACCTATTTACATTTATATTTTAAATATACCATACAAACAGCTGAATTTCAAATAAATTTCGTATACAGTAGTTATTTTGTCGTGGTATCTGCATTTACCGTTTTCCTCATTCAACTATAAGCAATATTACAAACCTTTGTAAGTTCCGACGTAGTCAATGTATGTACATTAAAAACATTAAAATTGATTTACATAGTCGATAAATTTAAGTAATAAATCTCGAATCAAGAAAAATTGGCCCGTATATCCCTATAGAAGAACACTCGCGAACACTCGAACCCTTGGATTTGGCTTCAGCAATATCAAGTGTTGAGCGCCGATTTATTTTAGTACTTGTCGGAGCGAAGGCAGTCGATTGAAAACTCCCTCTTGTCAGTGCATCAACATTCGGTGTGGAAACGATGAACACGATATTCAAAATTATTCACTTAAAATGCAGGTACTTCAATCCTATCCATTTATCAAAGTTATAAATCCTCTCCGTTCTTTTATTAAATAAAGCATTGCTCTTAGGAAATAGAGAAGGAGAAGAAAGAAATGATGTCGCGTATCGGGGATTTAGAGACCGAGCTTGCGACCTATACATCGGGGAATCAACGTGATAAGGTTGCAGAGAACATTGAGTACATCCGAATTTGGCGTCAAATGAAACGTCAGAACGAGAAACTCATCGACTCGCAGAGCGCCAATGAAATATTGAACGAGCAGATCTGTCAGCTTAAGAGCCGGCTCGAAGAAAGCAACAAGTACGTCGAATTTTATTATGTCATTCATTTTTAATATTCCTATGCGTTTAATAATTATTTTACAATTATCCATAGGAACAACGTGCAGGTAAATGCGGCTCTCGAGGCTGAGAAGATACAGGTTGCCCAGATGGATGAGAGCATATTAAAAGTCAAGAGCTCCGAGGTTGATATGCGCGAGAAAGACGAGAGGATAATTGATTTGATCAACGAGATAAAGATCCTACAACAGCATAACAGTGAGCTTCTCGATCTCAGTTCGAAATTCGATAATGTTGAACATGAGAATGACGAATTCAAGCGGAAGATCGCACAACAGGCGTCCGAACAACTAATCCTGAAGGATAATATTATCAAGGAAAAAGCCAATGTGTTAGCTTTTAAAGCAGCGAATGAGCAGTTGCTGTTTAAGCTTAATGAATTGCAATCAAATATCGACTTAATGAATATTGAATTAACCGTGAGTATCAAATTATTAATCCAATGACTGCATACTTTATATTGATTTTGTTTGTTGGAAGTGCTGAGTTAAGTTTGCAGATTATCACCATTTTTTATCATAAATGTAATAAACATACATTAATTATATATAATTAATATAAAATCATTAATTACTATCGATTTACTATGAATACTGAAATTTAATATTTTTTAAAAGATTATATTTCATACTAACTTTAAAAAAATTTGCATATACATATACACTCATTTTTTATTTTATTTCTATAAAATTTGCACAATATTGTAGTAATGAGTAGAATTAATTTAGAAATAATTTACGCGTTAATTTATATTTCTATTAGAAGAAATTGGTAATAAATAAAAAATGAGAATCGATTAAATTTTTTTATAAAAAAAAAAAAAAAAAAAAAAAAAAAAAAAACTGTTATAATAATTATATACGGAGTACGGGAGAAATATTAAATTATACTAAAACAAATGTATACTATAACAATATAAAATGTTAAATTGACATTAAATTTAGGATAGAAAATAATCCAGTATAAAGATAGTAGCTGAATAGGTATGTAGTAGTACCATTAACTGTATGAGCTAATAGTAAATTTCGTTACTATTAACCAAATATAAATTATTGTTACTTTGTATATAAATGACTTATACTTGTGACTGAGCTTCTAAGATCTATATATTTTTATTTCCTATTTTACTTTACGTTATAATACCGTTTTTTTAATACTTACTATTATTATACTTGTAATAATGCTAACTATTATAATACTTATAATACTTATTATTATGGTACTGCATTTGCATAAAGAACGTTTCCCATTTGTATATGTATAAACATATTTTTTAATTCTTATATTTTGATTGTTTTAATAATCTTATTTTTAAGTGCATTTAATTTAATACTCTTAATACTAACTCAGTGCTATTCTCAATAAAAGTTAAAAGAAAATTTTATATTGTTTTCATATAGTCTGCTAAATTTTGTTTTTAGTCACAAAATAAATGCAAGATCAATAGTAAAAATGACAAACAAAGCATATTAAACAAGCAGGCTTTGAATATAAATTCAGAAAATCGTAAAAAAGAATTTGTTGATAGTAAAATTACAGAGCCTGTTAAACATGAAAAAGGTATTCAAGCAGGTGAAGAAGATCATTTGATAAACGAATCAACGCAAACAGAACATTTTTTAGATAGTGCCAAAACGAACGAAAAAGCCTCCGATGATCATGATGAATTGTACGATGAAAATAAAATTCAAGTTCCGCGAAATGGAAATTTGTCTCGCAAAGGAATGCTAAGATTATTAGACCAAGTGCAAATAAATACACCTCTAGAATCTCAAAATACAACTAGAATAAGGCATTCAGGAACATCAGCATTATCTAATAAATCTCGAAAACAAGTATCTAAACTTGAAACTTTGTTATTCGGCGATTCTTGTTTTTGACAAATACTTGTATATTTATAATGAACGTATAGTGATTATAAAACTAATGGCTTTCTTCATTTTCAAGGTTTCGATTGTAACTGAGTCTAATGTTTGATAATGTATTCTAAATGCATAAAATGGAAAATATTTTATATCCTTATATTTTACACTATCAAAGATAAACATTGTATGGATTAAACAGTACCTATATTAATTATGAAAAAAGTATATATCAATGTGCTTGAATATATAGATATGCATGTGATTGAAATTTGAAAAGTTTTTACTTTCTTGATTGATATTTTCAGGAAATCATTATTTGAAAATAAAACGAAAGGACTCATTACAGAAGTAAAATTGTGAAAAACAGATATTTATGGGGATCAAAGTGTATTGTATTAGAGCTTCCAAATATGAACGTTATATTATCGTTCATTAATCATCACGAAGAATTAAAACGAAGTACAAATTTTAACTATTATAATGACTAGAAATAATAGTAAAGTTTCTTTAAATATATAATCATGTGTTCGACACGTTTATTGTCTTGATATGAATTCTGTATTGTAAATTTACATATATTATCAATTTTGTTATTAAGTTATTAATGAACATATTAGTAAAACGATTAAATTTTTTTACGATATGTTATAAAATGCATTATCTGCTTAGTATTTAAAATATTTAAAAATTATTAATATATTTGTAACCCTCATTTTAGTATTTTTAATAATTTTTGCAATATTGTATTTTATTGTAAGCTTTTATAATTATGTAAGATTATAATTGTATCTGAGAAATATACAAAATAATTGAATTTTTTTTTATATCCAATTATATTTCATTGTACTAGTAAAATATATTATAATTAAGACACACTTATATGTTAATATTTATATTATTAGTGCCGTGATAATTTTTCTTACATTTTCATTTTATTTGCTAAACTCCTGCAAAATTAGTTAATATTTTAACTCGTCTTTTCGATTACTATTAATTTATTTTTGAATTCATTATATGTGTAAATGTAAAAAATAAAAACATCCATTTAATTCAGTAAACGATATAAAGTGAACTTAATTAATAGCAATTTAAAGCAATTGCGAGTACAAATATATCAAGAAATAATTATTTATGGCATAAAATTTGGATTAATTGCTTTTAAAAGTCTTTTTCGTAATTATTTATATTTAGTTGGATTTGTTTAAGGATAATTTTTCTATTAATCATATAGATTATTTTATAATTAATTCATTATAATTAGGCTATAAAAACAAACTGAACTAGAAGTATATTTTCAGAAAACATAAATCAATTGAATTTAATATTAATATTTTTTTAATATTATAATTAAAAATTTTTAGTCACTGTTATATACATATATTATATATATTTAATAGAACTAATACATAACTAATACATATTTTTTTATTTATTATATAGATTGTAGATTTTGAATTTAATTAATTATTTTATTAATTGAAAATGTATAAGAGTTGTTTTTGCTCATGATCAATCTATCTGAATAGTAAATCTTATAACAGTTTGGTATTTTATGTCTGAAAAATTTTTATAGTATCTACAGCTCAATTTAACCGGAGCATTTAAAGCGTTTACAGTACGTAAATAGTATTCTAAGATTCACAGCTATAAAAACATTTATTTAAATAATATTGTGGTGTAATAGTTTTGGCCAATAATAATTCAAATGTAATGCCAACAATAGACAAACTTTGTATTCTTAATTAATCTCATAATTTCCGCATTATTTTAATTATATTTACACCTTGAAATGTGTAGTTCAAAATTTTCGATTAATTTTGAAAAATTTAAACTGAAAAAATAAAATAAAATTTTTATGTAAACATCGATATTACAGTGTCTTCTATAATATAAAGATATTTTTTGTCAATAAAAATAATAATGAGATAAGGGATAGTTTGAAAAATATTTTAAACAAACTTTGAATTTTATAAATTCGCATTTAATACTTTAGGTCAAAATTTATTTATACATAAAAATTTTATTTTATTTATCAGTTTAAATTTTTATTAAAATATGAGAAAATTGGTATGTTAAACAATATTATATTATAGTACTTAGATAATATAAATTAATTTAACAAGAATAAAAACATCCTCGTTAGTCCGTGCTTTCATAACAACGGCAGTTTTAATAGTGTTCAAAGCATAAAATATTAAAAATAGAATAAAACAAATAGTACAGATTAATTGAATACTACATTCATACAGATTTTCAATGTAATATACACATTTTAATTTATCATTTGCATTAATTACACAATAATACATAAATTCTGACATATTTATAGTTAAAATTTTACGTAAAATTATCATTTGAATGTAATAAAATCTAATACTGTTCAAATAAAATATACAGTTTTTGTGAAAACAAGAAAAAATCAACACATTTAAACATTAAATTATCATTAGTTTAATTAATCAAAATAATCATTCTTTGAAATAACAATGTATATATTTTTACTAAATCTTTTAAATATATAATAGGTTAATTTTATCGTAAAAATTAATTTCCTGAGAGAATGAATAAACAGTTTTAGCTAAATATACATTAAAAAAAAAGGTAATTATTAAATCGGTAATAATTTTTTAAACAAAAATAGTTAATTTCTTATAGTAATAATAATAATAATAATAATAATAATAATAATAATAATAATAATAATTTGAATTAAATCCTGAATTATGTATTTTATGAATTAAACTATAAATATTTCATATCTGACATTATTCAGAAGTATATTTAAAAATAGTAGAAATATTAATAAAGATTCATTATTACATTTTATGATATATATAATACTATCATAATTTATCACAATTATATAAATTATAATTATCATATTAGCATTTTTATAAATTAAAAGAAATGCTTTTATGTAGAAGTAATCTTTCCTTAATTAAAAACTATTTGTTATAGCTCAATATATTCTCAAAACGAACGATCCCAGTATTATTTTTTCAACGGTTTTCAAAATATTTAAATAAGAACTTAATTATATGATACATATATAATTTGTTTTGTATATGAAAATATATAATCCTTTATAAATTAATAATTAACAATTTAAATGATAATTTTTAACTTTTCTGCCTATTTATTAGAATTTATAACATCATATGCGGCTGTTTAATAAGACCACTACCTTATTTAAATATAATATAAACTCAATATTGATATATTATTATTGATTATTAATAGTTACATTAAAACATAAAAATTATTACAAATATTGAAATTACGGCGCTACAAATTTTCATATGGATTTAATTAATTAACTTAACAAATAGCAAATGTAATTTATAGGCAGCGAGATGGATGTGTGTACGTGTATAAATGATTATTTGTTATAAATGCGAATGAGCTTTAAGTTTACTGAATTTTATCAAAATCTTAAAAAATGTTTTATAGTTGCTCTTTACACAGACGATTTTGATTGTATTTTCAGTTTTGTAAATTTTAGAATTTTTCAGTACTTTTATAATTCATTACATATACATCTCAGCATAATTGTAATTTAAATTTCGAAGCAAATTTGATAATTTTTTTATGTTTATTGATTATTTTATTAGATCCTTTATTTATATGAGTTTATATTATACTTCATTTAGTTTATTTATTGAGTTTATTTATAATTTAGTTATTTTACAATAAATATGTTTAGTATTTGAAATAATAATTATTTGATTAAGATTTTATAAAATTATTATAAAATTATTTTCTTTCATAAATGCTATAAATATATTTATTCATATTATTATTAGAAATAACTAACTATATATTGTATTTATTTATAGGCGTCATATTTATCAAAATAAGTTGTCAATAATGTTAAGATTTTTATTAATTTTATTAATTGTGGTGCATGTAAAACTATTTTATGAAATCTCATATTGAAAAAAATTAGATTTCTTTGAAAGGTGTTTTTTTAATACATCGATCTTATAATGAAGTTACGACAGTGACAAATGTAAAATTATATGTTACTTGCAGAAAGTGATAAGTCAGGTAGTTTACATAAATTATGTTTCCTTATCAGTAGCTTAACAAATAGCCTTTAAACGCGAAATGTGTAAAATACAATTTAGATGTTTAAAAGACATTTTAACAGAATTCTTGAGTACGGAAATGGTATTTATAAATTAGGATTTAACGATAAATCAACGATGAGAAAAGGTGAAGCAAATTTATATATGACGTAGGCGAATAAAAGCTATTATAAAAGGATTTGCGGAGTGGTCCATTCGATCAGGGATAACATACGAAAACTAAAGCGAGGGCTTTTTTGGTCGTCGGCCAATTGCAAGTGTTAATTATGTTAGGGAAATAACACATCCGTTTTCAGTCGTACACTTGCTGAGAGGAAAGCTTGCCGCGCTCTGTTATTTTTCCTTGCCGCCCGCGCCGTAGTCGCGCAACCACGCGGCTAACGTCGCCGCCGCCACTGCCGCCGCCGCCGCCGCCGCCGCCGCCGCCACCGCTGCTGCTGTGATAATTCATGTATCGGCGTCGTAAGGTCCGAGGCCTGGAGTAGAGAGACGCGAGGCCATTGACGTATTATTAGATCCAGCTACGGGCGCGGGCGTCCACGATCAGCTGTCGTCGCCGTCGTCGTCGTCGTCGTCGTCTTCATCGTCGTCGTCGTCGTCGTGTTTATCGTCGTCGTCCTCGTCGTCCTCGTCGTCGTCGTCGTCGTCGTCGTCGTCGTCGTCGTCGTCGTCGTCGTCGTCGTCGTCGTCGTCGTCGTCGTCGTCGTCGTCGTCGTCGTCGTCGTCGTCGTCGTCGTCGTCGTCGTCGTCGTCGTCGTCGTCGTCGTCGTCGTCGTCGTCGTCGTCGTCGTCGTCGTCGTCGTCGTCGTCGTCGTCGTCGTCGTCGTCGTCGTCGTCGTCGTCGTCGTCGTCGTCGTCGTCGTCGTCGTCGTCGTCGTCGTCGTCGTCGTCGTCGTCGTCGTCGTCGTCGTCGTCGTCGTCGTCGTC